CAATATTTTCATCAAGAAACTTCCAGAGGGCTTCAAGCTCAACCAGGGAAAGAGAATGTATGATGCCAAGGGGTGGAACAGCTCCTTCCTCTAGATTGATCTTCAGATCATAAGGCCAATGAGGAGGGAGTTGACTGGTGTTGCCTTTGTCAAAGATGTCTGCAAACTCCTGGTATTTTGGAGGGATTCCGGAAAGGTTTGGAGGATCAGATGGGAATGTAGCGGACTGTAGATGAACACCAGAGGGATGTAGATAGATGCTGAACTGAGTGGACCCCTCTAACTTGCAGGCCCAGCAAAAGGCTACTGCATTAATTAGGGAAATGTGGGGAGTGGATGTATCAGTGGAGGGATCCGGCATAGTCAGAAGGGGAGGAGCATCTGCTGGAGGAGGCAGAAGCAATGTTGATGGGGTCAATGGCATTCCATGAGGTGTTGTCTGGAACTCAATGCTGCCCAAAACCCAGTCAATCAATGGATTGTGTTGGGTGAGCCAGCTATATCCAAGAACAATAAAACAGGATGAATCCAAAGGAGTTACATAGAATGTATCAGAGGTGTTACAGTCAACAGTACACCCCTATTTCTGTTGCCCCTCATTACCTGTATTACATCATGTACCACATCCTGCCACTGCTAGACTTGTCTGTTGTACTTATATTGCTTATGCATCTATTTTTACTTTCCTTTTATAACTGACTGGAACCCATTGTACTTATATCGCTTATGCGTCCCCTCTTGGTTCATGTGCTCCATATGGTCTATTTAGCACATAGTCAAAACTGTGTTCTTTACTTCAATCTTACTGGGTTTTATCTTTCACTCAAGACCCCAATCTTAAGTCATCTGAAACTGATTCAAGTTCACATTTGTATTGCACACTGTCTCTCACTTATGTTCTTTCATTTCTAGACCTGTGGAAGTCCCATTAACATATGATAGATGGTGTCAGTCTCACCCCAGGGTGCACCCACGTCAATTAAGCACTCATGAAAGACTGCATGTTTTGCAATGTAAGAGGTGGCATCTGTGGAATGCTTCATGCGTAGCGCCTGAACCTGCTGTCTAAGCAGATATTTGGCACTCATATCTGTGTGCCAGTGGTTGAAGTGTTCTTATAGTATCTGCCAGGCCTTACATGCAGCAGCATGTCATCTGATTGAATACAGAATACAATCCATTTTGTAATCATTTGTGCTTATTTGTGCATGGGTGGATAGTTGAAATTTGAGTGAGCACAATGCTATTTGATTGTACAAAGCCATTCTCTGGGTATCCGTAGAGTGTCTGTAGAAGTTTACTGATGTGACAAGGACACCTGGACTCTGAGTCTTGGGAAAGCCATCTGGACACCAGAAACAAGTAGAGAAATGCATTGCACAGATCATGGAGCATTGTGTACCAGCCTTCAGCAGAAGGAATCAAATAAAGCAATTGACTGGTCAAGCGAGTTGTGGACAGGCAGCTCACTGCTGCTACAATTTGACAAGCCCTCAGACAAATTTTGATTTCTTCTGCATTTTTCTGGTGTTTCAATTTTCCTGATCAGAAAACAATTGGAAAATTCTGACTGTTTTTTATGTCAAAAATAAGGTTGTGCACCCAGTGTCCACTAATATGAGGATGTGTACATGATTGTATATCTTGTGATCACTCATGGTGAAGGCCAAAGAGAGTGAGATGTTCAAAAATGTCAGAGCAGAAAGAACCGACAGATCAGAGAAAGACACTTACAAATGAATGAACAAACAAAAGGAAACAATACTACTGCTGGTGCTCAGTGTGCAAAAGAAAGGTTCGAAAACTTGGTTTGTATGGTGGGCACACGATGCACACCTCCACATGACACTCCAAAGGCTAAAGGGGCGCACACGGATCTCAGATCCACCACGAAGGCCAACAGCTAGTAGGAGCGTCAGTATCAGCGTTTATCACAACACCGCCATGCAAAGTCAAAGACGGACAACGATGACAACGACAACGACGTGGAGTACAACGAGGGGCCCAGAACGATCGGGGTTTGAAAAAAAAAAAGAAAAACCTATCGTTCCTGATCGGCCCCAGCGGATGATCGACTTGACCCCAGCGACGAGTCATGTACACAGCGCTTAGGGGCGGGGGTCACCAGCGAGGTCACCACGCCTGGATGGTACCCGGGGGTATACTCTATATCAGACACGAGGCGACCCTTCTAGACTGGATGATGAACCCTGAACCCAGCATTTTCACTGCCACAATTGAGACTTGCCCTATGCCCAGGGTATGGTGCCTTGGGATCAACTCTTCACAAGGATGCGTCCCATCGGTCCTTCGTCGTGCCTTGAGGCTGCGGTGAATTCAGAGACTTCGGAGCGCAAACCAGTGCCCTCATTGCCCATGACCCCATAAAGGGCGTAGAAAAGGCAGCGGGATGCACAGCAACGTCTGTTGTCTGTCCCCATCCTGTTCAATTAATACAGATGCCTGTGAGTGTTTCATTCTGGGGTGTCGCGGCAGCATATCCAACCATTCTTCAAGGCACGCATAATATCCAGGGAAGAGTACCTGCTACTCGCCAAGGTCGCAGAGGAGGCGGAGCGTTATGAAGGTTTGTCCAAGCAGCATTCCTACATGTCGTTCTTATCTAGGCTGTTATTTTCATAAGATCTCGTGGCGCAGATCAAAGGCTTGACGCAGACGTACGGAGCATTGACCATCGAGGAGAGGAACCTCCTCTCCGTCGCGTACAAGAACATCACGAACTCACTTCGTAGCAGTTGGAGAGTGGTCGATTCCATGGAGAAGCTCGAGTCAGCTAGATCCTCTGCACAGTCAAAGCACCAGGTCTCCTTGATCCGTCGTCAGCGGGTTCGCATTGAGAAGGAACTCACAGATGCCTGCAAAGACATCGTGAAATTGCTGAACGATAGTCTTTTGGCTACAGCCAAAGCCGGGGAAGAGACTGTGTTCTATTACAAGTTGTGAGTTCCTTCTCTGATCTATGCTAATGACCATCCCATCGTTGCGTCCAGGAAGGGCGATTACTATCGATACCTCGCCGAATTCGCGCAGCAACAAGAACGCAGTCGGTACTCGGATATGTCACTTGCTGCATACAAATTCGCGTACAAGCATGCACTTGCCATGCTGGAGCCGACACATCCAACAAGATTGGGTTTGGCTCTGAATTTTGCCGTTTACTACCATGACGTCCGGAAGAGTCCAGAGAGAGCATGTCACCTCGGCAAACATGCATTTGATGAAGCGGTCGCATGCTTAGACGATTCGTCATCGATGCAAGTCATGCGTGATTCGATGATGATCCTTCAGCTCCTGAGAGACGATCTTGTAATATGGTCCAGTGAGATGCAAAGAGGTAAAGGCTGTCTCCTAATGCAATGTTCTGTCACTGATTTAAAACGCGTAGATGCCGTTAGCAAGTGACCCTACGCTGGGACTGTTCTTTTCTATAGTGTCTAGTCTAGTCTCCCGTCATGGAACCCTATTTATATCACATCACTTGTCTTGCGGTTAAAGGAATGCGTTCCGACACATACCGTACAGCACATGATAGGAATTAATCTTGAGCAAATGTTGCAGCCACGAGAAGCGGAAATACTAGCGTCGCGTCAGCGAACACCTGAAGATCCACATTAGATGTTGTTACAAGACAAAACAACAGACGAAGGCACCTTGACAGACTCTGCATCGGCACGGATTTTACCCCAGGAGACCGCCTCATCTGGCCGGGCACCAGAGTCTGAGCCATCAAATTCTTGACCTGTGTTCTATGAGCGGAGAATGTCATCAGGTGTGTTTGAGCACTTGTGTTTGAGTACTAACTATGTATACAGAGTAATCGGCACCATTTCGCTAGGCGGGTAAGACTTCGATCAATGTCACGGACAGTATAACTTACTATTAGCATTGCATTGGCAATTTGATGTTTGCAAACCCCTCCACCAAGGATAATCATCCCAGCTTTTTTTGATTTTCTGGAGAGTTCGTTCAAAGCCCGGATGTCGCGAACAATATCCAATATCAGCCCGGGATTCCGGAAGGAATGGAAATATATCATGTCCCCCAGTGAACCGTCCGTGAGGGCGGGACAGAACACGGGTATGTCGTTCTGAATTTAGGCTCAGCTGGTGCAAGCGGAAGGAAATTATGCATGCATTCACTTTATAAGCCCAGTAGTAAACAGATTCTTCGTTATTAATTTCCTTTCCCAGTCGTCGGATGAATGAGCTTGGGGACCATACCTCACCGGTTGCCTGTTGTTCAGCCAACATGGTATCCAGGATAGGCAGCAGCCAGTCCTCAAACTTGCAATAATTATCGTTGGGAACAACGAGATTCCCTATCCTATTCATTCCTCGGCTCCGTAAGTCGGCGCCGTCCATGTTAAAGTCGGCCAGGTAAGTCTTGCCGAGGCATTTGATGAAATCCTCCTCGATCCCACCTGCAGTTGTGACGATCGCAGCAACGTGCTTGTGCTTGACGAGGTACAGTATGATCTCGCGCAAACCCGATGAAATTAGATTGGATGTGTACCCCAGAAAGATGTCACATCGTATCTGTGCTCTGATCTCTGGAGAAAGGTAATCTTCAGACTCATCAACCGATATGGGCTCGTCAGATAGACGCCATTTCCGCTAAACGGACTTGAATCTTCAGCGCGTCACATAGGCTCTGCAAAATGAAAGCACTCACCATTCTGTTAACGATGTCAATTGCCCTTCCGAGACTGCTTGCCTGAAATCCGATCCGTTCGTAACTTTTAAGAAATTCCTGGAGGGATAGATTTTTCTCGAGATCAGGCCCTTGGACAGAGATCGCCGAATCTGAAATGGGCTCAGAAGGTTGTAGCACTGCTGCAGATGCTCCTGCTGGCACTGCGGTAGACATACTGTACAATCTGGTAGAGGGGAGACAAGAAACTGACAAAAATATGACTACACGGCAAACTCCGACAGCTCGGCGTTTGCGATTCGAAATCGCTACATTCAGTAACTGTTGAACTTCCCTGCGAAGCAGTCACTAGCACTGTCCGCGTTGAATATGGTGGACGACACCATCACTGAATCCGAAGGACCGCCAACAAACTCGACGGTCGATGAGGAGCTGGTCGGTGTTCGCAAGGAGAAACCCATCGTTGTGGATGCCGACGCTATTCATGACGTTGAGGATGCGCCTCCCTCTGCGGTTGCCGCAGTCCGAAGTATAGCTGATACAGATGAAGCTAGGCCCGTGTCCGCTCTTCCGCTTTCCGAAATAGATGGAGAACACGTCAAAACCGCTTCTGACGTGTCTCATATTTCTCAGCCAGAAGTTCAGGGCATAGACACAGTCGTGGAAGCTCCTCTTCCTTCAAAACAAGCACCGCCAACACCGCCAACAAAGAGTCCGCGGCTGCAGCTAGCCAGGGGCTCCACGGAAGTTCATCAACCTCGTCCTGCGACGCCAAGCACACCTGCAAAAGTAAATGGCCACGACGAGCTCCGACCTCAAACGCCATCTAGTGCTCATAGTTCATCATCCGCTTCGTCTCACAAACGTTCCATTACGATTTCCAAGGGTTACACTGTTTCTGTAGTTCTCATTTCCTCTGCCTTAGAGATCATTCTGGCTTCGAAGGAGGCCAAACGATCCACACCTCTTCGCGAGAGCGCACACAATGCCTTGGAAATGATACGTGTCGGTCAAGGTGGTGATCGTCCACGTGAAATTTTTGAGCCTCTACGGCTGGCATGCGAGACGCGCAGCGAGAAACTCATGATAGCGAGTCTGGACTGTATATCCAAGCTCATCTCTTACTCGTTCTTTGCGGAGCCATCATCTGCGCAGGCCCTTCCTTCGCCGCCTCCTTCACCGGCACTTCAAGGAAGACGCTCGATAGCTGGTGCTTCCCAGTCTAGCCTTCCACAACCTTCCCTTGTCGACCTTGTCGTCCATACCGTCACAACATGCCATAATGATACCTCCCCTGAAACGGTCTCTCTCCAGGTTGTCAAAGCGCTTCTCTCCCTAATACTTTCGCCTACTATCTACGTGCACCATTCGTCACTGTTAAAGGCAATCCGCACGGTTTATAACGTATTCCTTCTCAGCACGGACCTGGTCAATCAAATGGTGGCTCAAGGAGGACTAACCCAAATGGTGCATCACATATTCTCGCGGTGCAGAAGTCTCGACGGTACAACCCCACGCTCACATGTCTCCTCCGACTCGTTTGCATCAATTCCAGTACCAGGATCGCCGAAGATTGACATCCAAAACACTAGCTTTGTCCTCTCAGAAAATGCAGCTGAGAAATTGATGGCAGAGGCGTTGCCATTAGAATCTGCCGTTGACATGCCCTTATATCCTGGTGTTCCTACCCTCCCCTCATCTATTCATGATCCTGACGTTCCGCAAGGAATAATTAGTCCCGCGCCGTAAGCATATGTTCCGTAACAGTCGTTGATACTTATTCAAACATGTCTTCAGTCCGACCACACATGACGTCGCAGAAAATGAACACGCTCCAAGGGAGTTGAGCACGCGGGATATGTTTATAAAGGACGCGTTTTTGGTTTTCCGAGCCTTGTGCAAATTGACAATGAAGCCCTTGAACACAGAGAGGTACGCTTTTACTTCTATTATTCAGGGTGATGGTGTTAATACCTGGCGCAGCGAGCGTGATCTCAAATCTCATGCCATGAGGTCTAAACTCTTGTCCCTGCATCTCGTGCTCACCATCCTTAATTCACATATGGCACTATTCGTTGATTCGAAAGCCATAATCTACTCTTCTTCCACAAACGAAGCAACCACTTTTGTTCAAGCTGTCAATCAATATCTTTGCCTCAGCTTGAGCCGCAACGCAGTTAGCCCTGTGCCTCAAGTGTTCGAAGTCAGCGTGGAGATCTTCTGGCGAGTGTTATCAGGAATGCGAACGAAGCTCAAGGTACGATCATTATTCATGAACTTTACACGACTAATTTGTTCCTACACAGAAAGAGATCGAAGTCCTACTACACGAGATATTCGTTCCTATCCTGGAAATGAAGACTTCAACTCTCAAGCAGAAGGCTGTAATCATCGGAATGCTCTCCAGGCTTTGTCAGGACCCGCAGGCTTTGGTAGAGATATATCTCAACTATGACTGCGACAGCGAAGCTACAGATAATATATACGAGCAGTAAGTGTCAGAGGATGAAGGATCCAAGCTGCAGGCTGACACGATGATCAGTCTCATGAACATTATCTCCAAGATTGCTACATTGCCGTATACTTCCTCGCAACAAAAGACGAACGACCCTGCAAGCCCGGCGCTCCCGCCACAGACTAAGAGCTCAGCGTCGACGGCGCACGTGTCCGGCGCACTAGCTGTATCCGGTACCATGGACACGTCCACCATGGGTCTTTCCGAGGGGCAACTTAGAAGGCAGGGTCTCGAATGCTTAGTGGCTGTTCTTAGATCTCTTGTGACTTGGGGAACAGCTGCTGGGAAAACGCCTGCGGAATCTGCAACTGCCGATACTGCCCCAAGAAGTCAGATTGGGGAAGAGATTGCAGCTGACACTATGACACCTGATCCTTCGTTAGATGGGTTGATTGCCTCCGCTGGAAGCACGGAAGCCTTTCGGCAATCAACTCCGGACATTGCAGACGATCCCTCCAGGTTTGAGAGTGCGAAGCAAAAAAAGACAACCCTGCTCGAGGGCATCAAGAAGTTTAACTTCAAGCCCAAACGGGTTTGTCCCCCCACTCTTTGCAAATGAGCAAAGTTAATTTTGTCTTAGGGTATTCAATTCTTGGTCGAGACGGAACTCATTCCAAGCTCGTCACCTCGCGATATCGCAGGATTTTTACTGACCACTGATGGCCTCAGCAAAAGTATGATTGGCGAGTACCTCGGTGAAGGGTAAGCATCTTCAATACATCGTCACCCCTAACGATTCTCATTGCCCTGCAGAGATGAACACAATGTTTCTATCATGCATGCTTTTGTCGACTTTCTGGATTTCAGGAACTTAGGTTTCGTGGATGCTGTTCGTGTGTTTTTGCAGGCATTCCGCCTTCCTGGAGAAGCTCAGAAGATCGATCGTTTCATGCTCAAGTTCGCGGAACGCTACATCGCCGGAAATGCTCAAACACCCTTCAAGAATGCAGGTTTGTGAACATCTGCCCAATTTGTTCGGGTCACTTACCTGCCATCGAACAGATGCTGCCTATATTCTCGCGTATTCTATCATCCTGCTCAATACCGATGCTCACAGTCCTCAAATCAAAAATCGCATGACTAAAGCCGACTTCATCAAGAACAACCGTGGCATCAACGATGGAGAGAGTCTTCCGGAGGAATTCTTGAATGCCATTTTTCATGATATCCAGAGCAACGAGATTAGAATGAAAGACGAAGTTGATGCCACCATCAACTTGCCCTCAACAGGCCCTGGTCTTGCCAATGCGTTGGCGAACGTGGGGAGGGACCTTCAAAAGGAAGCATATGTGATGCAGTCCAATGGCATGGCCAACAAGACTGAAGTGAGCTGCCAGTCTTCCGATTGAGCGCTGATTAATCTCTTGTAGGCACTCTTCAGAACGCTTATGCGCTCTCAACGAAGAGGATCTCGTGCTGGAGACCAATACTTCAGCGCGTCACACTTCGTCCATGTTCGGCCGATGTTTGAGGTGGCATGGATACCCTTCTTGGCTGGATTGTCTGGCCCGCTTCAAAATACGGATGACCTTGAGATAGTCGATCTCTGCTTGGACGGATTCAAAAATGCTATCCGCATAGTTTGCTTCTTCGATTTGGACCTCGAGCGCAATGCGTTTGTTGGTACCCTTGCGAAGTTCACATTCCTCAACAACTTTGGGGAAATGAAAACTAAGAATATGGATGCTATTAAGACACTACTAGATATCGCGGTCAATGAAGGCAACAACTTGAAAGGGTCATGGCGCGATGTGCTGTCGTGCGTGTCACAACTAGAACATATGCAACTTATCAGTGGCGGTGTGGAGGTTCCGGACGGCGGAAAGAAAGGGTATGTGATTCGTACATATACGCTACTATTGGCTGACCATTCCTTAGTCGATCTAAGAAGCTTCCAGCAGAAGAACTCGCCAACGAGAGCAGGTCGACTCACATCACCGTGGCAGCAGACATGGTCTTTTCACTCAGCCATTACCTGTCTGGGGTGAGGTCATCTTCCTAATTCAATTCGCTTGCCTCGTGATGTTGACTTATTGATTTATAGACTGCTATTGTGGATTTTGCAAGGGCTCTTTGTGATGTTTCATGGGAGGAGATTCAGTCGTCTGGAATATCGCAACATCCTCGTTTGTTCAGTCTCCAAAAGCTTGTGGAGATATCATACTACAACATGAACCGTATCCGTCTCGAGTGGTCGAATCTCTGGGATATTTTAGGAGAACATTTCAACCAGGTAATATGCTGAACATTTCGACGTAAACATATACTCAACCTTTGCAGGTTTGCTGTCACAGCAATCCTCATGTCGGTTTCTTTGCGTTAGATTCCCTTCGTCAGTTATCAATGCGATTTTTGGAAAAGGAGGAGCTGCCCCATTTCAAGTTCCAAAAGGACTTCCTTAAGCCCTTTGAATACACGATGGTTCACAATGCCAATCCCGATATTCGCGATATGGTAGGCAGAGCACCAACTAAATCTTCTGGTACTAATGTTCTCGATAGGTTCTGCAATGTCTCCAACAAATGATACAAGTCAGAGTACAGAACATGCGTTCAGGGTGGCGTACACTCTTTGGCGTTTTCTCTGCTGCTTCAAAAGTGCTAACCGGTGAGGACGAAACACAACGCCTCTGCGTGGTGCAAAATTCTGACCATCCTTCCCTCACCTTAGAACGCATTGCGAATTCTGCATTCGAAATCGTGACAAGATTGAACAAAGAACATTTTGCTGCGATTGTCCGCCATGGTGCTTTTGCAGATCTGACTGTTTGCATTACCGAGTTTTGCAAGGTCAGCAAGTATCAGAAGATAAGTTTGTTAGCGATTGGCATGCTGCGCGGTGTTATTCCAGTCATGCTCACCTGCCCTGAGTGTGCTCTGAGTCCGGGGGTTGGACCTAAAGGCGACGACATCATGATTAGGTTCTGGTTCCCTGTCTTGTTCGGATTCTATGATATTATAATGAACGGAGAAGACCTTGAAGTACGACGTCTGTGGGTCCTTACGTGGTCTGAACTTTTTAACTAAGCTCACCCGACTTACAGCGCACTGGATTCTCTGTTTTCGACTCTGAAAACTTATGGATCAACTTTCACTGTGGAATTTTGGGATACAGTTTGCAAAGAAATACTTTTCCCGATCTTTGCCGTTTTGAAGTCGAGTCAAGATATGTCCCGATTCAACACTCAGGAGGATATGAGCGTGTGGTTGTCAACTACGATGATTCAGGCATTACGTGACCTCATCGATCTCTACACGTTTTTCTATGATATCCTGGAGCGCTTCCTCGACGGACTACTGGAGCTTCTGTGTGTTTGTATCTGCCAAGGTAGGCTGATGTAGTGTTGCCGAGCCCTCGCTCACATATTCAACGCAGAGAACGACACCCTGGCTCGTATTGGGACATCGTGTTTGCAACAATTTCTGGAGAATAATGTGCAGAAGCTCAGCGCCGCTTGGTGGGAACGAGTGGTAGCTACTTTTGTGAAGCTTTTTAGAACGACTACTCCCCACCAACTTTTCGACGAAAGTTTGCGTGTGGAGATCGACGGGAGCTCTATATCGGATCTTCCGGATACCAACGGTGTGTTCCATGTACGGAAAATCTGCACAAGCCAATTTACTTCCAAAGATTCTAATGACCAAGCAATCGTCCCTGCCCCATTGTCTCCCACCGGTGATCGCCCTCAAGAAGTCGTCAAGCACACCCTTGGTGACCGACGTCGTATTTTCAAACAAATAATTGTCAAATGTGTCCTTCAGTTACTACTGATTGAAACTACCAATGACTTGCTCCGGAACGATGCTGTCTACACTACCATCCCTCCAGAACAGCTTCTACGTCTTATGGGGGTTCTAGATCATAGCTATCAATTCGCTAGAATGTTTAATGATGATAAAGAATTGCGTACTGGACTCTGGAAAGTTGGTGAGTGTGTTTCTAGTAGTGCTAGTAGATCTCCTCTGATCGCCATCATAAGGATTCATGAAGCACCTGCCTAATCTCCTTAAACAAGAGTCCAGCAGTGCAGCAACTTTAGTGCATGTCTTACTTAGGATGTACTTCGATGAGCGCTCAGAGCACCAGAACGCACGCCCTCAAATTGCCGAACGCCTTTTGCCGTAAGTACGACATCAACTCTGTATTACCTTTTTGACCCAGATGGCAGTCTTGGTTTAAGCGTGCTACAGGACTACATTAAGCTGCGTGCTGATACACAGGCCAAGAACATAACTGCTTGGACACCGGTTGTCGCAGAGATATTGGATGGGTTCTGTCGTTTTGACAACAAGGCTGTATGTGATACCTTGGAATTCGTATTTTCTCCGCTGACCGAGATATGCAGTTCGTTAGATATCTTCCAGCAATTTACCCGTTGGCAACTGGGCTGCTTGCTCGTGATGTTGCACCGGAAATCAGGCTGGGATTGAAGATGTATTTCGAGAGAGTTGGACGGACCCAAGGCATAGTAGTAGTAGAGGCATCGTAGTACATTGTTCGGTTCTCCTTCGTAGGTTTGATCGCTCATACAATGTTGGTTGTGCCCAAGTTCAATTATATATCTTCATCCAACGGACTGTAATCTGGTCAAAGAAAGGAAGAACCAAAACTAAGTCTAGTATCAACTTAAATAAAGGCTAGTATCCCGTATATCCACTCGGTTGAAATCCCCACCCAGTTGTCTGTGGGACAAATCCTGTGGGTTGAGGCGCGATAGCTGGTAATGTTAGTCAGTACTCGTTGGACATCAGCCTGGACATAACTTACGATTTACGCGCAGGGCATTATATGTCTCTGGGATGATCAATCAGATATCACGAATGCATAGTCACAGAATGGTTACGCTTACCTGCCTGCTGGGGTCCGGAATGCTCATTCCCACTGGCAAACGTTCCCGATTTCATCTGAGCAAATACATTTGCCGGTGTTGTGTTGGAACTAGTGTTTGGCTGAGAGTAGTTTGGCTGAGAGTATATGGAAGGAACGGGTGGTGGTGGTGGTGGCTGGGAGTATAAGGAAGGAACGGGTGGTGGGGAAGAAACCACATTGTTGAATGGAGACTGGGCAAACACTCCTGTTGGGTCTAATCGAGATTAAGTAATGTTCAAAAAGTACACAGGAGGACTTACTCGGTTGCACTGGTTGCATTGTGGTATTCTGGAATGACGGGCGAGCGCCATATGTGCCAAACGACCCCCCGAACATACCAGTTGGTTGCGAGAGCAGTGGTCCCGATGATGGTAATCCTGTGGGCTGTGATAAAAGTGGTTGTGATGTGCCGGGGAAGCCCGTTGGTTGCGCTGACAGGAATGGAGATGGTGCTTGGCCCTGGAAGGGCGACGCGCTGAATGGGCGCGTTGGTACAAAGTTGTTGAACCCTGTGGTAGTGGGTACAAGGGGCTGCAACAGACCTTGATTGGCCGGAACAGGAGCGAATGGTCCACGATGGCCCTGCGCACCTGTTTGCTGGATCTGCAGGTGTTGCCCGATGGGTGTAGGAGAAGAACCCATTCCAAGGCCAGCGTTATATGAGACAGGTGGCTGTGGGGACACTACTGGTGGACTTGGCGCAACAGGAGCCGAGGCAGGCGCTGGGGATGGAGAAGAATGGCTTGTTTTCAGCTGACTCAAGCGCGCAAGCTGGTCGAAGATGTCAGCATCAGTCTTTGCGAGGCCATTGCCAGTTGCTGCAACCTGCGCTGGCGCCACTGCTGGAGCAGGGGGTGGCGTCGGTGCAGCAGGTGCAGCCGAGACAGATGCAACTGCAGGTGCAGTAGCGGCAGCTGGTGGCGCCGATGGTGCACGATAATTAGCAGCCGAAGGTTTAGACCCCGGTCTGTTCGTCCAAGCATCGTCTTCAAAGCCACTGGTAACGGGCACCGTTGAGCTTGACCTCTGAGGTGGCTGCACAGGCGTGAGAGTGGCAGGGCTCATGACGAGAGGCGAACCAGTTCGTTTAATCTGATCAGAGGCAGTGGTGATGGCGTTGAGGTCGACGGACGGTGGTGGCAAAGACTTGCTAGGCTGCGGTCTCCCGCGGCGTTGGGTATTATTCTTGAGAACACCTCCAGGACCAGCAAAGAGGTTGGGCGCAGGACTTGATGAACCTTTACTCCTCGTGCCATTCTCCTCTTCTTGTAGCTGCCGTGCCAGTTCTTCGTCGCGAATAAGCTGCTCTTGTGACGTGTCCTTCTTGGGTTTCGCAAACTTCTGCTGGATATGCTTCGTGACGCGAATAATATCGCCCTCGCGCAGGCCCAGCGAACGCATTGTGGACTCGGTAGTGTCTGGGAGGATTGCCTCATCAATCTTGTCACGTTCGAAGGAGGTCGCGTATCGCGTGCAATCATCAATGTCGCAGCCTGCATTCAGGAAGAACTCGAACCAGTCCGTCTGCGGCTTCTTTGGTTGCGCTGACATCGTCGCCCGCCGTACAACTTCCTTCTGCTTGAGCGCAAGTGGCTGGTCGTCATCATCGGAGTGACGGCGTGGCGCTGCAGGAGAGTTGTCGTTCTTGGCATTAAGTCGCTCAACATAGCGTATGTCCTCGAGGGACATTTTCTCCGAGGGGACCTCAATGACAACACCGTTGACTTTGTGCAGACGTAGCTTGCCGTTGGAGTACCCAAGAAAGGCAGCTTCGACACGGAACTGGCCACTGCGGTCGTGCCATATACGTGTAGACTCCGCGGAAGGCACATCTAAGGTCGATTTATAGGTTAGAAGAGATCGAAGGTCGTCGTGAGACACTCACTCTTGTGAGCATCACTTGAGCTGCGTCCTGCACTAGACGTCGACTCTCTGGATTTCATTTGCGAGGTCGGAGGATGACTGAGAGATCAATATATCAAAAGGGCTTTGAGCATAGGCTGAGGGGGACACCTACGGTGACGAGCTCTGTCCCCTTTCTGCCTTTTGTTGAGCACGCTTTGCGGCCTCCTGACGCTTCCTACGCTCTGCTTCGGCAGCAGCAGCAGCTTCCTCCTTCTCGCGTCGCTTCCTATCAGCCTCTGCCGCTGCTGCTGCAGCCTTTGCGCGTTGTTCCTGCTCCTTCTTTCGCTCCTTTTCCGTGCGCTCGCGCTCCCTTCGTTCCTCCTCTTTCCTTTCAGCCTCGAGACGCTCTTGCTCTTCGCGCTTGACAGCACCGTCGTCTTCTGGCTCAGCAGTGACAGATGCTCCGCCAGTACTCTGAGTATGCCGTCAGTAAGTGAATCTTATGGTAACTTACGACTGACCTCAAGATACGACGCAGGTACAACTCCCTCAATCCCATGTTCATTTCTGCACTTCCACCACTCTTCGCCCTCTTTCTCAATGATCCAGAGCCGTTCACCCTCTTGCACGGTCAATTCATCTGAGCCCGTGCCCTCGAAGTCATACAATGCGACGGCAGGCTCGCCATCATCAGTACCCTGCACATCTTCCTCTGTTTCTCCCTCTTCCTCCTCTGAGGATTCGCGTGGCGGTATAATTGCAGGAGATTCCTCTGCAAAGCGCACAGAAGCGCCGTTCTTCTTGATTGGGCTGCTTACTTCCGAGCGCGGTGGCGGAGAAATGACGGCACGTTGCTCGGCGGACGCAAGTGTACGAGAGTTCTCCAGCTTCTCGACAACAGCATCAGCCGTGTCTCTGCTTCCAACATTGAAGTGCAACTTTGTTGCATTGGGCCCGCCCATGTCAATATGCACGTGCTTATTCTTCTCCACGGATATGTCCACAACGTCAGATACTTGCCATTTCTGCACTGGAGTCTACGCGATGCAAGAGTTCGATTACTCGGTTCGGAAGGTGATTATACAAATGGGCATACCTTGTCTGATTCGCTTGCGAAGAAGAGGGAGCCATTGCCAATGCCGAGAGTACCCTTCTTCTTCTTGCCTTTCTTGTCCACTTCAGACACGGACCAGGTCTTGATCTCGTCGCTCACACGAGCTTGGGCCTTCGACTGGGCAACTCTGTCGGCAGGGTCCACATACACACTCAAGGGGCGAGCTGGAGGTTCAGGCTACGTATGTCGCAGGGAGTATGTCAGTGAAAGACTTCGCTAACTTCTTAAATTATCGACGTACCGATGGCGGAATGATAATTCGAGGTGCTACAGAAGCCGGCGCTGGTGTGCTTTCCACGCCAGTAGTCTATGTGCGAGATAAATATGAGCCCACATATTCGATGCAGATACATACATCTTCAACATAGTTTCCTGGTACAAAGCCAGCCTTACCGCCCTCCTTGCTTTGAACGAGTATCCAATCTTCTTCGCGGTCAAAGACCATTAGAACCTCGTCCTCCTTGATAGACAGCTCTCCGGGTGCAGCAGAATCATAGTCATAGATAGCTCTGACAAGAGACGTGTGTTCAGCCTAGTGTCGCATGCGTCTATCAGACAAGACGTGGGTAACACAAGGGTATGAGACGGACCTGCTCGACATAGGCAGCAGGGACGAGGCCAGATGGACTATCTTCCTCCTGTGATTCACCTTTTATCTTGACTTTCCACCAACTTCGTATGACATGAGTGTTAGACCAAAAGCATGCCATAACTACTTACTCGTCATCAGTACGTTCAAGGAGAAGGACGATTTGGTTCTCAGTGATCGCAAGCTCGTCCTCTGACTGAGGCTCATAGTCATAAGAGGCCTTGAGGACTGCAAGGTATTGCTCGTGTTCTGACATCAGCGGTGAACAGTAAGAGGTTCCAATTTAGATGCTAGAAATCGAGATGGTGCGGGGCTGCGATTGATGGGATGTGCTAGTACTTTAGAAACACTCTGCTGCTATTACTCTGCAGTGAGAGCAAGACCTATATGATATGTTAGTTACAATCAGTTATTGGCAGAAACAGCAGCGGGCGTTGGAAAACGAGGCAGTGGGTGCAGTGACGGAGAAGGGTGAGATGATTGCTTTCACGTGACGCTCAATGAGAAACTTGGCAAGAATTATTTCATGAACTTCGTGAGGATCTAGTGACTACTGCTACACGTATGCTAAGAATGACAATAATGATAGCTCGAGAAATAAACCAAATAATTGGTACAGTTAAATGTCCCAGCTGGTAACCCGTGAATAATATGCTGTAGATGATATAAATGGGCGACGACGAGAGGTGATGCCACATCTACCCAAGCGTCATGCTAGACACAGTCGCTGCGATGCTACTACGTCCGCTGGGCGGAGCAAGCGCATTCACAAGCAGATCTCGGCAATTTCGCAGGCGCTCCCTCCGCAAGACAAACCACGAACTCTCTGATGATGGGACAGCCAATGGCACTCCAATGATCCCACGCGCCTGCGCACCCTGCACGGCCTTCACCAGCGAGTCGACCTCTGCTTCTGAGTCAAGATCATCCAAGTTTTCAGCAGCCTCATCGACGTCCAGTTGTGTGGCAGCAGTGCCGGACGTATTCGCCTTCCTACCAGGTTTCTTCGGCACACCCTTCCCTTCCAGTCCAGCGGCTTGTGCAGCCTCCTGTGCCAGCCGCTTCTTCTCCGCCTTCTCTTTCTCGCGCTTCTCCTTCTTCTCTGCTTTTGTCTCCTTCTTCACCGGTTCTACCCAGTTAGGGTTATTTGCACGGTTCCACTCGAGCAAAAGCTCGTCATATGCCTTCGAGCGACCCTGAACAGCGCGCTTCGCACCCATAGAATGAGCTTTGCACGTGAGCGAGCGCGAACACGGGAGGCCTTTATCATTGATCACTCCACACTGCTTGTCATAGTCCACGGGGCCTTTAGTACGCCCCTTTGTGATCTTTGTCTTCTTCTTAGACGGCTCGCCGGCGTCATCCCCGTCCTCGCCGTCTGCAGTCCGCTTCTTGCCTTTCTTCGGCTCAACTTGATGGGGGTAGTTATATATGATGAGAGGAAAATATATCAGGAGACGGTACCTTCGCTATCTGCCGTTTTGCCCTTTACCCATTTCTTCCCTGAACGGATGTCACTACAGTTGCCTGACTGCGCATGAGCCAAATATCTGTCAGTTGTAGAAAGCCATGACATACTGATGTGTTCGGAAATGGCGCTACGCAATATGGGCTTCTCGCAGTCTGCACAACGCACAACGCCGATGTCAGCCCGTAGTGGTTGGGCACCAAATATTTTCATGTCGCGGGCAGAGAGCCATGATGTTGGTGGAGGAGGTAGACCGGTAACTTCAGGCGCATTTGGAGAGCCCGCGCGTGGTGGGCTGAGAGTATCCCATGAAAATGGAGAAGGGGAATGGCTCGTCCGCTTGAGTTTAAGCGTCATGGCTGTATGATCAAGAACTAGTTGCACCAGAAAGGAAAGCAAGTGACCTTTGATCACGTGATTGGCGCGTTTGAGATTTTAATAGAGATGACTTTTCTGTGAACCGGTGGTCAATTTGTGGTCGTAACAGAACAATAAACTTGCACACAACTACATGATAGTACATAATAAATGGAAGCATTGAAAGCACAACAAACAGGTCCACAGCGTAGTTCTATTACAACTACTGGCACACTGCAAACCGTTAGGGAGTCTGCCAGGCTTCTGATTTCCTCGGTATCGTACCCCCTCAATCTATTGGAACGCGGTATGGATGACTATCCGGAATATTCCGTGTTTGTATTAAAAGTGTAGGGACCAGAGAAGGACCGAAAAATGCGACACGTATTGTGAGAAGGATGAAGAAACGTGAGCTACGGCTCAATAATGATATCACGTAGAATACATACGTGTAAGTATGATGCAAGTACACGCAAGCACCCTACGCGGCAACCGAAACGTGCGCCACGCCCTCTGTGACCTCATCGACGCGATCGTCATGAAGTTTCGTGATCTACGATGACAAGATTTGATTAATAACGTGTCCGAGGGAAAACCGAGAGGTAGTTTAGTGAAGAAAAAGGAAAATAAAAGTTTACACGCAGCAGCCAATTGATATAAAAAAACGCACCTTTCCAATAGCAATTGTTCGGCCCTCGTCACGCAGAGTGAAGCGACCGAGTTGAGGGTAATCGACGAAGCACTCGACACAAACGGGGAGAGTCGTTTCTATGAGCGCAACAATTTTTTGGCCTGGAGATCGTAACGAAGTGGTGCATGGTTATAAAGAATGTGCAGGAGGAGCGGGTATGATTGTTACGGCAGTATTTTTTTTTTCGCCACAACGAAACGGATGAGGAAGAAACATTAGTGAGAATTGATTACACCGTGCACAGTACACCCACCCTTCTTTGCAAATTGAGGCGGCTTCTTCGATTTGCGTCCGGTAGCTTTGTCAAAGTAGTGTAGTAGAGCCTATTCACGTCAGGACTGTGTAAACCAGCGAAACATGCCGCACTCACAGGCAGTGTAACCTCCTCGGAAAGTGTGTGCACGTGCATTACAGCCGAGTATCCCGCACAAATGATATTCTTGTGTTCCAAAATTGCGAGCTGCGCCTCGAATCGCCTCACCGCTCTCACAGGAGACTTCGGACTGGTGAGGACGAATCCGGGACTGATATCTTCATCCTCCACGCCCCTCAATCTCACGCGCACATTGTCACCACAGATCGCACTGGGCACCTCTTCTTCCATCTCATTGTATATGGCGGCGACTTCAACGGCGGATTTGTTCGGCATGAGGGTTAGAGAGTCTCCCTTGCGAATGTGTCCGGATTCAATCTTGCCGACGATGATGGCACCCATGTCTTTATACTTTTCGGAGACGGGCATCATGAGAGGAGCATTGACCTTGCGGTCGACCATGGGCATGTTGTCCATATGTTCGAGGAAGGAGGGGCCACTGCAAGACGGGCATCAGCATGCATATACATGGAGGAAAACACCACACACTCATTCCATGAGCAGATAGACTTTGCTACGCGATCCTTTAGATTCTGACCCGTATATCCAGACACAGGTATAAAGGTGACATCCGTCTTGGGATTGAAGCCAGCAGACTTTACGAATGGGGTCAACTTATCCTTGATCTCAGTGTATCTGCCTTTGTCCCAGTTGACAGTCGGATCATCCATCTTGTTGATGACGATGACGATTTTGCTGACGCCGGCGGTTTTAACGAGCATGACGTGTTCGCGGGTCTGGCCACCTCTTTCGAAACCAGTTTCGAATTCACCTTTGCGTGCGGAGATGACAAGGATTGCGACGTCTGCTTGGGCAGCACCGCTAATCATGCTCGGAACATAAGTCTTGTGGCCTGGAGCATCTAAAATGGTATATCTTCGAGAGGATGTCTCGAAGTAGGCTCTACCAACTTCGACGGTTTTTTCCTTTTGAGCGCTCCTGAGGTGTACTATCGAGAGCCCAGGAAAGGTACCATGTTTCACGGCCAGCTTCCTTTGCCTCCTTCTCGTATTTCTCCATGGTGCGTTTGTCGACGCCACCACAGATATATAGGAGGTTCCCACCGAGAGTTGATTTGCCAGCATCTACATGGCCGATGAAGACGATGTTAAGATGTTCTTTGACTATAAATATATGAGTACAATTACGTGAGAGAGGGACGGTGAGGTACGATGCGCACCATCGCCGAAAAGATCCTGGAGGACTTCCTGGTCTGCAACAGCCTGGACTTCCTTTGCAATAGATGTGGTATCTGTCTTGGCTCGTTCGGTGGAAAAGACCTTGTTAGTAGATGGTACAGGAGAAGAAGATTGTGATGGTGCGGTGCTCGCAGATACAGACGGTAGCAGAGCAGGTTTTGACTGTGGAGCAGGAGCAGGGACAGGGGCAGGGGCAGGTTTAGGAGCAGGAGGAGGGTTCGATCCGCCGATGTTTAGGGTGATGGTAGGAGCTGGAGGTGGAGCTTCAGTCTGGAGAGGGCGCTCGAGGGGAGGTTTTGAAGGAGGTGCTTGACTTTTCTGAGGTAGCACGAATGCGCGACCTGGAACGAACTCAAATGCGCCTGCGTTAAGCTTGCTCATCGTTGAACTGATCAGCGGCGATGTCGTGGTCACTGATTAAGAGTTTAAGTAAGTTATTGAATTTTATCAGTCAAAGTCATGTGATCTGTAGGCTCGGATCTCGGCACCGTCGAGCTCACTGTTCTTAACGATCATCGAAGATGGACTCGGAGGCACAAGAAGAGCTCGCAAACGTCTTGCATTCTGGCTCATTTCTCCTCGGCACTTCTGGTGCCACCGAACGCGATCTTAAAAATGTACTTGTGCGCAGACTAACGCAATATCACCAAGCATTCGGATCCTCCGCTCCCTTTCTTGATACAGCGGAGGATGCCCAACTTGAAACTGCTCAATGTGCTCTGCACATTATCGAGCGCGTTCAATCTCTCCTCGACCTGCCAGATCTCGGTCATGAAGGTGATTTGAAAAGCGCGCCCGCAATAGGTACTCGCGACCTTAGCACACTCCGCACCCTTATGTCTCTTATTTTTCGCTGGGGAACCGAAACGCTTTATACGCGTCTCATCCCTTCATTATCGTCTAAACAAATTCCCGGCACCCCAAAAATCATCGACCTCACGAACACGCCCGCCGATCACGCTACACTCTCTGACCTGCTTTTACGTCTCATGGGCCTCTTGTTCCCAAATGGCCCAAAGAGCACGCCACCTCAGACGCTCATTAGCAGTACACTACTGTCAAGACATGCAGTTGATTTGTTGCGCCCGAGTATGGCCCTCGGATGGCTACCTAGTGAATCCGTCGAGCCTCTCCGCCCGCTCGTGCTCCGTTTCCTCGCCTTGTGCGTGCACTTTACAGTAGTTGTAGCTCGCAATCTCATCTATCTCCCCACAAAATGTGTGCCTTCAGCATCCCCCTCCCTCAACTCATGACATCCCTTGCTACGGTCCTCTCCACCCCTACCTCCTCAACACCACCCCACGTCCGTAAACTCTGTTCCTCCCTCCTAACTCAACACCTCCTCCGCCCAGGCGGTGTGGGTGCCCTCTGTGCTGCTGTATTTGGTGAGCTTGATTCGGAAGATGAACCGGAACTCGATAAGCTGGAGCACGTTGCACGCGTGCTAGGAACAGTACCTCGAGGGATGCAACCCAAGGTGTGGCGGTTGGGTTAAATCAACTTCAATTATTTTCTGATCCAATACTGTTTCAGCATTACTTCCAAACAATAACATCGCGCATCCTTGCTCTCATGTCTCCGCCTTCCTCTTCTTCTGCCTCAACATCAATAACGCCCCCCGCATTCAAACGCGCCGCAGCATTTACTCTCGCACGCATGCTGGACTCCAGTTCTGCACACCACGCGCTCGTGGCGAGCATAGCCTTGCCCATTTTACACAACCCCCTCTTCAAAGTCTCTGATGAGACTTCACATGACCAGAGGGAATCAGGTCAAAGCCACCTTTTGCCCACCCCATCATCATCCCTCCAAACCCTTCACGCCCTCCTGCTATCAATCGATCCATCGCCCTCTCTCTTCGCCTCCCTCCTTTCACCCATTCTCCCCTCTCTGTACTCCCTTCATGCACACCTCAGTAAAATGGGTGTAGCGGATCCAATACTGAAAGAAGATGTTTGGACATTGATGAGGACATGGGGACGAGTTGTAGAGGAGGGCGAGGGAGTTCGAGTGTTGTGGTCATTAGTTGATGAGAACGAAAGCTCTGCAGGAGGGTGGGAAGGAGGAAATACAGAGGATCTAAAACGTGTAAGGAGGTTCGTCCCACTGCTGCTCCTTCATCTTCATGTGAGTCTCAGCCCAAGTCCGATACAGGGTCAACAGAGAAGAGAAGCTCGCTCTCCTTACGCCGGAAGACCTACGGCATACCTCCGTTACTGAGGATACGAATATAGAGTCATTGGACTTGGGACTCTACCCACCTTCTGCGCACTTCGTTTTCTACATCAAGAACCTCAATCGTGCAGATATTGCGGGGGGCATGTTCGTGAGATTGCTGGAGGCATATCGCACTGCGAAGGGGTCTGGTTCTGCTGATGATACACAAGACAGCGACATCAAAGGAGAAACACAGAGTATATTGATGGATCCGAAGGAACCTGATCCACTCCGGTAAGCCTAACATGCCAGCCCAGCCATGCTGTACTGCTGATGCGTATGATGAACAGAGTGATGCTCCTCCTCCAACTCATCATAGCCTTCCAATCTCAGCTGGACAACACCGCTATCCTGAGTCGCCCAAGAGATGTATTGGAATTTGTGAGGCACGCGTTAGAGGTGTCTGATACACCCTCCTCTGCACCTGTATCTGGCACGTCAGATCGACGCATAAACAACGAACACAGCAAAGGCCTTTTGAAGGAGGATCTAAGAATCGTACCAGAGGAGCAGGACGGCCTAGAATTTGGGCCAGATAGCGACGACGAGGACAATGAGGTTGAGGGGGAAGATATAGTAGAGACCGCTGTTGGATTGTTGTTGGCCGTACTTGACGGTTCGTCCTTGTCTCTTCTTGAAAAAAAAAATAAGAATTGACCTCTCCTTTTCTGTGTCATTATGTCATATTCCTCACTGTGAATTTCATGCACATTCTGTTGTGTCTCCTACTCTTCAACGAAATAAAATTACCACTCCCGCCACTCCAAAACACAGCCAACCCGTCACTCACCCCGAACAACACACCCTCTCTTGCGCCAATCCTCGACCTTCTCAAGGCACACACGTCGACCCGGCCAAGCGCACGTGAGGCACAATTAGTGTTGACGGCGAGGACGGCAGAGGGGGCGTTAGCCGCATCGGGGTCTGCTCCAAAATATAAGGGTAAGTCCAACGGTCGAAGCGAGGATGACGACGCAGATCCGCGAGAGACATACCAAAAAGCACTCAAGCTCCTTCAAGACCCACTCCTACCCGTACGGGCGCACGGGTTGCTCTTACTACGCGAGTTGGTATCTTCCCCGGCTCGTGCGAGTAAGGCTGAGCGAGAGAGGCTTGAGAAGGAAGCGACAATACGTGCCCTGCACCCTGCTATCCTCTCCATATTCTTGCAAGCCATTCAGGAGGACGACTCGTATGTGTTTTTGAATGCGGTGCAAGGACTGGCTGCTTTGGTGCATGCCCCTGGTCCTATTTCCAGATCTGGCGCAGGGAACGAAGTGTTGAAAGCACTTCTGGATGCGTATGCGAGGGGAGCAGAGGATCTCGCTGATGATGAGGCAGAATCGGATAAAAAACCTAAGAATGGTGAAAAGGGCAAGGCAAAGGGTAAACGAATGAGCGAAGTTGACACACGTCTCCGCATCGGTGAAGCCCTCGCAGTTGTTGTGAGGCGCTGTGGAGACACCCTGGGGCTATATGGTGAGTTTCATCCCGCCTCTCTATTCTATTCTCATTCATCTTGTCATCACTCACCGTGTTAAATAAGCGGACACGCTCCTTCCACCTCTCCTTTCCCTCCTCCGTGAGCCCCGCGCACCGGTCATCTTACGCACGTCAGCGATTTCCCTGCTCTCCGAATGTATCAACACCTGTGCACGCGTAGTGGAACGATACACTGAGGAAATAGCAGAGGGGACGCTGGACTTAGTATTGGTCGAGATGACTGTGGCTACTCCCATTCCTCGTTCCAAAGCTAAGGTAAACAAGAAGAGAATGGAGACGGACACAGAAGTAAGCACGGAACAAGCAGAACCTGAACCTGCTCCAACACCCCGATCCCAAGCCGAACGCCCTCCAGACCCGCTAGACATATCCCCCCTGAGTGCATCTTCCAAAGTTCCAGCACTCCGACGCGCGGCGCTACACTTTATCGCGCTTCTCGTGCGGGTGCTTACTCAGGAGGCGTATGAACGCGGTGGCAGCTCTTGGAGCGGCGTCCAAATTAGGGGTATATATGGCGGGCAAACAGGCACGTATACGTCATATGAAGGAGGACCACTACCCCGGGAATTTATGAGACGCGCTCGCACGGTGTTGGAGTATATCGCAGCTGTGGATGAAGATACAGTCGTGAGGGTCATGGCAAGGGAGGCTGGAGAGGGGCTGGAGGGGCTGGAGAAGGCTTTGGTTGGGCTGTGAATGCCTGGACGAATGGCAACGAATCTCTGAAAACTGAAATTCAAGATGCAGGTTCGACCAGGCTGGCCAGAATCACCACCTGAGATATAAATTGTCCCAAAACCGAGATACCTCCGAGTCTGGGCCCGATCCGTTGGTGATACTATTACTCATCGTAAGGCCGCGGACGCGCCAGTTCCCGACTTCGCCGACCGCAGAATAAGTCTTCAGATGCCGATCACATGTACTGTTCGTGCGAAACCTCTACAACCTCCTAGTACGAGCTTCTTATCTTATTCATACTGGACAAAACAATTCAATCATCTCATACGTCCACAAGCCATCCATCGACGTGCCACTAATCTCCCATGGAGTCCTGCTCATTTCGTCAACTCTTTGAGCGATTTCAGTAAGTGTGAGACATGTGCAAACGGTTCAAACATATCCGCCCTCGATCAATGCAGGGCTTCACCCATGGGCTCCATATGTTATTGCCAAACGACCTCCTTACTCTGCTTTTCATCTCTCGATGACCACAATCATTAACACCGTCATGTGCGCCGTGCACGTTGTGGAGGACCACTTATGGCAAGGAGGATTCATATTGGGTACTATGACATATAACTTACTTTTGCTGCTCATCTGACTATGCATCATGTATAGATTCTCGTCGACATGGCAGGCCCGCCCGAATTGCGGCCATCTCAATATCCACAGTACGCCAGTCCGCGATGCAGAGACGCGTCCACAGACCTGAGTGGATCGCTGTCGTCAACAGTGGTGTATTTATGGACTCCGATTTGCATGCCTACTTTGGTGCATGGGACCGCCCTCTCTACACGCCTTGAAATTCATCGAGAGTGAGACCAATACATCACATTACGTGATCACGACAGCAACGCCATCAAAAGAAACGCAACCTGTGAACGTTAGAGGACACGAGAAGCAAGAGCCGTGATGTGACACAATACATTTCAACAGCCATGCACAAAACATCTCAGCAGTGGCAAAGATCGCAGTGTGATAGTGAGGATAATAGAGCGCGTCATCATAATCAGGATAATCGCATATATTGTGAGCGGTGGATGGCGGACATACAGCCTCATCCAACACGCAAGGAACGCGCAAAGGCGCCTTAACCGAAAACATTCTGGTGTACAAAAGTGAGGTCGGAATCTTATGCGATAAATAGCCGCACCGAGGCAATAATGAAGGACACAGTAATACTGTAAGGCAGGCAATCGAAGAAGTTTGCAAAGGGCGAAGCGGGAGTACAAGACAATGCTATGCTGATATAACCGCTGACATAAGAAATTGCTACAGTCGATTTGGTAGAGAAAAATACTTTTCAAGGATACAGAACCCTCCCCACAAGTGGAAGTCGGGAACCACCAGTTCGCCATCCCCACATTTCGTGCATCGTTCAAAACAACGCTTTTTCTACTACAAATCTTTAAACTAATACATGTATATGGATTGATAAATCATAAGAACACCCTACGAGCTTAAACGGATGCGATCTAACAAGAAATAAAAGAGATAAAATTTTGGTGGTGACAACGGCTTGTGTCACTCTCATTGTCACCTGCCGGTACTGCCGCAGCGGAGTTTGAAACTCAGACAAAATAGTGACGGCGCGTAATCAAACCGGTAAGAAGCAGGCAGGTCCCAGAGATCCTACCAAAGAGGCTCGCATTCAAGCCTTGACTGGTGTTTATACCAGTTTCCGGAGTGCTGCTATAGCTCACAAGGTAAGCACTCTCTCAGCAATTTCGATGTAACTCAATTTCCCTGATCGTTCTGCACGGATCATGCAGGATCCTAATACTCGTCAAACCCTTGCAGATAATCCTCAGTTTTCAGCGCTATATGATCTGAAATGACGTGGGAACTTCAAGGGGCGCGTCAGCGGCGTTACTACCCCAACTTCAACTGAAAGCTTGGCACCTTCAGCAAGTACTTCTCCCCCCCAGCAGCCAACAACTTCGTGTCCCCTCCCCAAGTGCCGTTTTTCTCGCAAATGCAAGGTTCTCTACCCATTCCATATTCGAACCATTGGCCCAGGCAAAATCGTATTGGTACTGGATTTTCACCAACTGCTCCTGTCGCATCGACGTCATCACAGCAATTGCTGTCTGCACATCTTAATAATAATGGCGGTTTACATTACTCTAGCAACCCACAATACATATTTTAGATTACTATATAGTCAGTTCACTTCGTACAATACTTTCCTTAATGTGACAATGTCTAGTGCTGAACGAACTTTGAAGTCGGCCAGCGTGATGATACCGTGACTTTCCGTGACATTTGTGTGACTGCACGAAATGTGGTGTGCACGAACTGGTGAGTAATAGTACTAACAAGTCCTGTTCAATACTAGTATACAAAACGCATCACAGGATTCGACCAGAGTAAAAACACTAAAACAATCTTCCAGGTGCATATCCATGACGGCCAGGATCAGCACAGGTTTCTTCGTCATGCCTATCCCAATCAACATTCACACCCGCTTCCTCAAGGAGCCGCACTTGATCAACTGTCAAATTTTTTATGCACCCCGCGAGTCGAAGCTTGTGTATATGGGCGCCGCATTCGGCCCGCTGTTTGATGGCATGCTGGAGGTCTTCAGCTTCATGATCCCCGAAGTTGATACCCTCGAGCTCTAGAACACGGAGCGAGGGATATGCTACGACTGAGGCCTGGATGTCATCAATAGAAAGCGCATCGATTAAGCCACGAATGGAGTTCCTGCTGATACGGATAACATGGAGATCCAGAAGGCCGGCCGACCCAGTGCGCCAGAAAAGTTCTGGGAGATCGTATAATAACTCAAGAAACATGCTGTGAATCCTGCCCTGCGAGGCGACCCGACATAATTCAAATATGATGGTCGGCTGAACATGAGCGAGTGGGTTGCATGTGAATTGAATCGAGAGTGGTATGTCATCATCAGCAGGGTTCCAGGAATGATAATGATGAGATTTGAACGCCATTGATGTGTTGAACTGGACAACAAAACCATTATTCGAAATGCGGATGGCGCGCAGGGATCGAACAACGGGACTAGGTCCGTCAGAAGCCCTATCCATGGCGGAAAATAGATCAGAAAAGCTTTGAGAGCCTTCAATTTGTGAAATGTATAGAGCGACCTTGACGCCAGCCGGAAGGACTAGACATTCGAAGAGAGAGACAACGGTTTGGGCGGCGCCAATATCTAGCGCCATACTTTTCAACCGGGTGAGCGGCACCTTATCGCAGAGCCCTGTGTCCCAGAAAGTCGTGGGCAGTGACTGAAGCGTAAGCTGCTCCAAGTCAGGCATATATCTCAGAGTTGACAGGAGCTGCGCCGGAGTAGGAAGGGCGCCTGTTGTTCCTCTCACACTTAGAGAGCGAAGCCCGCTGAAGATGCTCCATGTCCAACTCAAGCTGCATAGCACAAGCTCAACGCTCTGAAGTAGGGGTACTTGTCCTCGAAAGAGGGTGTCTGATATGGGCATCAATGAATGATGGACGGTCCCTATGACCGTGAATTCGAATATTTGAAGAGATAGTGCGGGCTGTGATGATAACAATTCCACAATGCGATCGACATCCGGCGAAACTGAGCAAATTCGGAGGACTTTGATTCGAGGTAGATGAGAAAGAACTGGCTCCAAGCAACCTCGTAGCGAGACTGGTGCATGGTATGTGGCAACCAAATGAGCATCCTTCGACCTCTCAAGCATCACGCCTAGCCAACGAGGAGAGACACAGCTGATATATATCCAAAGGGTTGGACAATCGAGAGCGAGCTGGCGCCACTGCTTACAGACATGTGTAAGTATCAGACAAATAGGGGCACCGCGATGGCGGGATGTGCTTGTATGATTCTCGAAGCTCTCGAAATGTCTGAAGATAGTTACGAGAATGTCAAGTGGAAGGCAAGATATACGGGCGAGACCATTCCGGCGAGAACGAAGGACGCGCATAGACTCCGCTAATGCAACGAGGTCTTGGTCGATGCGGACGCAACACCGCTCAACGAGACTGGTGGCGCTTCCAGGCTTAACATCGATTAAGGGATCTGATAGCATGGACATGGGGGACCTGGGTGGCGCAGTTGTCAATTGAATCGGGACAAAATATCAGTCAGAGGAATATCACTACCTTTCGTTCAACGTTCGTGAGGGTAGTATGCCAGAAAAATTCCAAACACCAACTCACACCCCTATAATATGTACAAATAGTGTGACTGGCCTGCGTTCCAGCGTGTTCTTGGTCGATTCGCGAACAGGAAGAGAAACTTAACTTGAACCCTGCAGCTTGCTGGAGCGAAGCAACGTTTAGATCGATCTGGAACCAGCTGTATCGGATTTTCCCAGACAAGTTGGAAAGTAAAAGTAAAAGCCACTCCATAAGGTAGCGGGAATATTCTGGTGACCGTACATCATTGACTATTGTGCTACAAGACACTCTCCACACAATACATAAGAGGAGCTAGTGAGGGAAAACAGACGATGAATTATATCAACCCCGTATCTGTCTCAGACGCGGTGCTCGCTAGACATCTGAGTCAATAGAAGGGTTTGATCCATTTCGGTCCACACGTAACAAACGAGTAGCATGACCACGCGCTATCACAAAGATGGCCGAAGCCTGCAAAGCGCGATGAGCTGCGAACCTGGGCTATACAAAATGACAATGAGACGTGCGTAGTTATCGGCAGTTCGGTTCAATTCTTCTTACATTCATTACCTTGGTGCATATGTTCATGAAGGCACACTCCCACCACCGACAGCCCTACTTATCTCGTCTACTTTCCGTCTGAAGCGCTTCCACTTGGCGCTCCCCACGCCTGCAGGCGTATCATGAAGTCGGATAAAGGGGTTCGAGGAAGCATGATAATAAGCTAGGTGGAGGGCCTTAAAAGTCTAAATATACATCCGTGTCAAGGAATGGATGAGGTGGACGAGGAGATTTATAAGGACGTACCATGATCACTTCCGCATCACGCACGACAGAGTCTGTGAGTGGGAGAGCGAGAACAATCTTCATTTTGAGAGGCGTGATGTACCCATAAGCAGCTATGTCATCCATGGCGTAGAGAAGGCCGAGGTAGCAATCGTTAGATTTTGTTGGACCATTTGCTAATGCCAAGTGTCAAGTGAGGTATTCTTGTCAGTGGAGAAATAAGAAGTAGACGGTGGGGGGCACTGACTTCGTTCCTCAATGACATCGAGACTTGTATGGGCTACATAGTGGTACTTCAGCTCGTCACCTTTTTCGAATGTGCGGATGAGGATTGGGTGGTTTTGGGGTGATATGAACGCGACTGCATTCGGGCGCAGCGGAGGTGCCATCTTACAATATTATTGTTCTAGCGTCTTAATGAAAAAATGTTTGCAGATTGGAGGAATTGGCCCATATAAAGACCTTAAAAAAAAGGAACTCCCAAGGAAGACTTAATCCCGAAGTAGTACTGGTTAAGGATTGTGACAGAAATTACTGTGAGCGTGACCGTTACATTTTAGGGACCTAAACACTTATATCTTATCTAGCCTAGGCCATGACTATGCTTGAAAAATATTGTCTTTCCCAAGTCTTTCCTCTCTCAAGGTTTGACTACAAGAGACTAGGAAACTAGCTATAGGTCAAAGCCAAAACTGCAGTAAGTGCAGGCTGTGCATACAGCAAAGCAAGTTATTTATAAAGCGGTCCGAGTCTACTACCTAGTAGTACCTTCCAAGCTCGGTTGTCACTTGCCCCTCCACAATAATGGCTACCAAGACCGACATACTTGATGATAACAAGTCCGTTGCTAACGCACCTCCCCCGTACGACTCAATTCCTACGTCTACATCATCCGCAAGATCCGTCCGACATAGACCATCTGTATTTTCCTTTCTAAACATCAAGCAGAAGATCAGCAAATCCCTTACTCATGTACCTCCCTCGAAAGACACATCTGCATCATCAGCAAATTCTGTCCAATGCCAGAAACAGACCACTGTCTTATCTCGCATCCGTGATATTGTCTCCGCTCCCGACATCATTGACACCCCTTCTGTTGCCCTAATCGTCGATGCCTGCACTGCTTCTCTTTCAGTTGCAGAGTTCTCTGACCTCCTGCAATCTCCCAACATTGAGGGTCACACAGCACTGTATTGGGCAATTGTCAATAAGCGGCAAGAAGCCTTTTCGGCCTTTGCTGTATTCATTACCAAATTCTCGCCTGTTTGCTCTTCCGACTTGCGTCTCGCGTGCGTGGCAACTCACAATCAGGCCTTGTTTGTCCAGCTGGGTTTGGGATACAATGATCGTAAGTGCATAGTCATGCCCGCTCTGAGAGTGCATTAACTATGCGCTAATCAGCCAAGGACGAACCTTTGAGACGCTCTTTGGGTTGTCCACCTGATGACGTTCAGGTGCACGAAGGAGATGGACTGGGCGAGAACCAGTTCATTGCTTGTATACACATCAGGATGTTCCGGAAACGTTTGCACATTACACAGGATTTAGGCATAGAATTTATTGCAGGGGGTATGTTGTCATCGTTCTCGACGTTGAGATGATGACGTCAATCCCTGCAGGACGTATATGGATGTTGCGCTTCTACATGGGACCTGATGGGAGGTGGCGCATCGGGCTTAGTCTTTCTCAACCTAGTTTTCCAGCGCGTCCAGATGCTAAACTTCTGATCGAGGCTCACACAAAACCTGGTTGTATAAACCCACCTCAAGGGCTGGTAATGACTTATGACAAGGCAAAACTGCTTGTACCTGGGGGGTAAGTTTGATTTTTTTCCGATTTATCCAAACACAGAGCATACTGATATTTTATTTTTTTTTTTGCACCCCATCGACCACTTAGATCTCAAAAATATACGGGCTTATCCAATTTCGTCAACATCTTTTGGTCGTTGAGCGATTGGCTTCTGTACGAGTGAGTCTTTCTCCCTTAACGCTTTCTCAGTTCTATCCGCGTCACAGTAAGTGGCTGGAGCGGTAATCTTAACGACCAATTTATCTTGTGACTCTTTCTTTTCGACGAGTTGAACTGACTGCTTCGTTCAGTAATACCATATATACGGACTGCGATGGCACCCTGCACGCATCGCTAGATATTACATTAAGATAATGTCAGCAGCTCAGTATCTCTTGATATATATTGCACTTTTTTTGGCTAACAGTGACGATGGGAACTTGAGGAATTTTCTGGGCATTAGGTCACTTTGTCATTGAAAGTAAGTTCAGCTTCACGAATTAATTCTCATGCCTTTTACGGAGACATCAATTGCAACTAAAACTGTATGCTATCATTAATTACGCAGAAGCTGTACAGAGCACGTTTTGCAACTTCTCATGAATCAGCGATTCGAAGGAGGCATGAGAGACCTAACGCGAAGGACAACACAATCGCACGGACGAAAAGTTGGACGTTCTCCCACGTACCCAAACTATGATTGATTCATCTTGCTCGGTGTTTCTATCACGGGCGGACTCACGAGTTATCAGTGTCCTCTCCCATGTTTCCTCAGTGAGTATTAATGTCTTTTCTGACATAAAAGCCATCATCCCCACACACCCCTGACAGGTAAGAATGTTATGATTTTCCTCGTTACCACTGGCAGTGACCTCACGGTCGTACACATGGTCAAAGATACTACGAACCATTCTGAGGACTTTTGTATGAATTGGAGGCTTTCGACAACGCTAGTCCTATCTCTCACGATCATCACTCATCTTCTCGTTAGAATGGAATGATGCTTGTAACCTTGTGCCGCTTGGTTGCTTAGACCTTACTTTACCTGTCGTATGCGACACACTCGCGGTAGCACTATTGCACCACGGACAATCACGACAGTGTCGTGATAGCCTAGTGCAACTTTCAGTCAGACATTCAATGCTACCCAAGATACCCGAAGACGTACCTTCTTCGTGAACTCATATAACCTCCTCTGTACGGCAAACAATATTGCAGCAGTGAGGACACTCTGGAGGAGTTTACTGCCGACGCCTTTGTACAGGCCTTGTATGCCTTCCTCTTTCAGGATGGTAGCGAGACCATCGAGAGAAGATTTGTATTGTTCTGCGCGTGCCTGTCCAGCTTGGAGCCTGCTCTTTAGGACACTGAGTACAAGTCAGATCTCGGCCTGAAAAGTTCGGTCAAGCGCAAAAGCTCACATGTAAGGATACGTTGAGCCCGTTGCGACTGCATAGCACATTGTCAACATACTTCCAACTACACCCATATTTCAGAGAGCGTACCAAGTTTGGAAAGTGCGCCCAAGACAAAGAAATCCCAGTCGGACAAGACTGCAACCGTACTTCCAGAGCCACCCACCCTTAGCTTCAAGGTCCTCTTCTTAATCAAAAAATTCTTCAACTGCTCGAACACCGTGTACTGCAGTACAGGGTTGATCACGAGCACTAAAGCAGGGCCGAGCCCACGGAAGAACCCGTTCAGCCCGTCTTTAGCTATGATGGCTTGAATGGTTTGCAAGACACTTGGCCGTCTGAGTACTGCATGTGAATTGGATGGTTCGGAAGGGGAGGGTTCCACTCGAACGGCTTGGGACGTCTGTATAACCCAAATTGGATTGCTGATGATGGTAGTTGCTGATCCTAAAATGCGGAACGTTCAACGATAAGTCATAATACCACTCATGCGCACCAAGGCTAGCGTACCAGCAATAACGCCTGCTAACATCGATTCCAACATAGTAAGCGCCTTGCTCCCCTGCCTCGAATTCAGAATGATCCCTCGGGAACGTTCATAGAAATAATAATACACCCTGTCAGCATTGGGTGTGAGCAGAACACAGCGCGGGGAACTCGGGAAGCTTTACCCATTTGTGACAGCTATCCCGAGCAAACTTGGGCTCAAACCGCTATAAAGACCCGCAATACCCTCGCGCTTGACAATCTCAAGGAGATGTTGAGCTACGCTCTGTCAACACGCGTGAGCACGAGGTGCGGGCGAGTGTTACATCTCGAGTTGTAGTCACCTTGGAGTCATTCTTCACGTCAACTGCAGCGCGTGTCGATAAGACTATGAGTGGGCTACGAGTACAAAGGACTACTTGAATTTGCACTCACACACATATAGGATGCTACGTACTATGTTGCGGACATGGCGACAATACCACCGGCAGCGCCTGCGAGTGAATGAATGGCAGAGTCGCTTACCATGATGCGAATGGTGCGAGACTATGCTACGTGCGTCGTGGAGATAAAGATTAGAGGCGAGGCGAACAGTCGTCCGTGTTCTGGAACTGGTAGTAGAAATTTAATTGAAAGAGCTTGGCGCCTGCGTCGTTTCACTTCTTTATCGGCGGCTTTGCAAATTGGAACACGAAAGGCTTTGGAGGCACGGAGGGCGTTAAGAGGAAGGTGATGAACTTGTCGAGCCGGGCGTTGACATCAATATTATCATGTGATTGTTCTCAACTTGCTACCAATTGTAGCCTTGTAATGCGGAAACGAGAAAATAACCCAGGCTTGATTTAGAGGTTCTAAACATACCATAACCAGGGATGCAAATTGGGCATATCCGGATCCCCAAGGTTTAAAGCAGAGAATTAAAAGTTGAGCCTTTCGGACTTTAACACGAGGCGAGAAAGAAACGATGTGCGAGGTTGGTTGGTCCCTTTACCAGTGGCTGACCCGACTTCGTTAAGTTTGTAATGATCTACTTAATGTCATTTGCGAGTCCTCTTTATGTTTGGATATGAGCTCAAACCGTCTCTGATTAGACTGGTGACCAGCCCGTCTATGAGGCAAGCCGTCGATAGACGGACTGGTAAATCTGGGTTTGAATTTGGATGTCGAGCGGATTCTCACAGTAACGTGACGTATAAGCCTTTTCGGGTATAACAAAACCATGTGAGCTTTTTGCTAAGCCCTTGCAAAGAGTCTTCAAGTCCTTGTCTGCGATCGACTTCGACAACGGAACATTAGCTGCTGGGCAGCATCGTTGATCGACGGACGTTTCATCGTCCATGTAACTTATTTCTTATAACTATTGCTATTTCTATTACTGTCTTTGGTCTATCACTGCCTGCAACATCATGGGAGACTCTTCGATCATCCTTGACAATTTCAATCGTTCGGTGGACTCTGGCTTCGTTGATATCACAGCACCACGCACCTCCGAGGCTGTTCCGACTTCTCCCAGACTCTCACTACACGAATGTATTAAGTCTGTTCTCAAGATCTTACGAGAAGGTCGTATATCAACTCTCGACTTTATGCTGTCAATTCTCAATCCTTCAGAGATTGAGTTCACCTTCAATCGTGATCGCATATACAACTACTCTACGCAGGAGAAGGGAAACTCTACAGGAAAGCTGGAACAGTTGCTTGACTGCATGTTTGCAGACTCACAAGGACGTGCTCGAATGTTGAAGTGGTTCTGCAGTTATAATGCTGTCTCGACCATTCAATGTTGCTAGAACAGCTTCAAGCTGGAATTGACGTGGTACTACTATGGCCGTTGACGTCGGAACGTAGACAATCAAGCATGCTCGTAGTGCATCCGTTTTGTTGTTATTATCGAGGGCCTGAATATAATTGATGGGGAGTCATTCTTTGATTAAATCACGCGCAAAACGATCCAGCACATCAAGGGCTTAAGCTTGGATGATGGAAGATTGGTCCATTGAATTTGCAAGTATAGTTCGCGTCGCGTCGCGTTAATAACAAGAGAATTATATATCATTTATTTCACATTCTATCTGACACGTCGAAAAACAGTCGTTTTCTCATTGGCCAGACATCACGTTACTGTGAGAATCCGCTCGACATCCAAATTCAAACCCAGATTTACCAGTCTAGTCTCTGATTAAGGTAGATAGAAAGTAACATGTACAAGTGTTTCTACTAGTCTAGGGATGTATTTTCTCGTTTTCGCAGTGCGTCCTACTACGACGCCACAGATGGTCCTCAGTCCTTGGTATGCTCCACCACCTTGCACTCGACTCTTACGAATGAAGAGGCTCGAACTAGGAACGGGAAAGAGACTCAGTGTTGGATCAAAAGACTGAGGGATATCATTCGAGGGGAGAGGAAAAAATGGTGAGCGTGTACGAGGCGTGTAACTGCATATGTAAAAGAAAAGGATGAGAGTGTCATCGAGAGTCATATCTTGATATCGACAATGTACGGGTTTCAATTGCAAGGCTCGAGTGGTGCCCATGTCAAGCCATCTGCAAATGAACCCGAAGCACGCACAGCAGATACAACAGTAGAAAGAAAACACGAATGATGAAAAATGCTCACTGGTACTTGAAAGCTACCAACTATATGCACCATGAATATTAGCACTCTCAATGAAAACTGAGATCAGGATACTGACCCATGGGCAAACGACTGCCCAAATTGCAGCCTTAATAGCTACAGGCATGAAAGTGCCTAGGCTTGTCCATAATCAGGGCCTTCTGTCTCAGCGCTCATCAACAATGGACGTACCTCGTCCAGTCCTCTAGAACGTATCTGAGAAGTTGATTTGGAGACTTGAGCCAAGAAGCTCATCGTTGCTGAGAAACACGCGGCCGTTTAATAACTAAAAGTGGCTGGAAGAGGAAGCAAGGGGAACGGTACGAGGCTGGACATGAACACGTTGTGTCGACATCGGATTAAACATGCAAGTCTGGGCACACTTCAATTAAGTCTAAGTCATCATGATGTTCATGTTCACAGTGTGCCACGGGCAGGTTAGCCGAACTTCATCGGAGCTGACGGCTGCCATACCGGAGGGCTAGCCACGTTAAATTGATCAGTGCGGGTCCGAGTCGTGAAATTTTGAAGATTGATGTGGTGACCATGACGTGCATCCACATCGTTCCACAATCGACGCCCAATGCAATAAAATACAACATCTACTTCAATTTGAGCTTGATGAATAGACAAGTCGACGAACGGCATGTAGCAATTAGTCACCTAAATACACGTATGGGGTTCACTGCTTCTGGTTCTGCCATGCTGGGTAAGCTTGGCATCGGGCCTCACTTGTCGACCTTGAACATGTCATCCTGCAACTGTCTAAGCAACTGCTGCATTTCCTCGACATCCTTCTTAAAGCCATTAGAGCTGCCGCTAGAATCCTGCCTTGTGGAAAACGAGTCGCCAATAGTAGCTTTACCGTCATCCAGCACGAGCCATTTGTCCAGCTGCGTAATGATGGCTTGCGATTTGAGGCGGTAATGCGTCCGGATCACGTCGCCGAAGGGCTCTGGAGGGTTCTTAAGGTTCCCGAGCATCTGCAACATCAAAGGTAAGAAACGACAGTGGACGATCATGCGTAGATCTTACCGCAGTCTTGACGACCATCCTCCGGACGTTGGAAGAGTCTGACGAAAACGTCGGGAAAACGCTTATCATTGAGTTTAGCTACTCACATTGCCTCGACTGGGGAGTACCACCATCGTTCGCCCATCCAGGCTCGTTAAGATAAGGTTCCTCGCAAAGGATCATGGACTGAATGGATATAAGGACCTGCAGGGTGTGAGCACAAATACTAAGAGCAATAGAGGGGCGCAAACTTGTAGCAATGTCGACTTTCCAGAGACCCACCCTGGTCCGGACCATGTACCGAGAAGAGACAGGCAGACTTTGCCATCCTGAAATATGATAAGAACGGATCATTTCCTGGATTTTTGCACTCACTGCGTAGAGATTAGGATTGAACCGATACTTTCCACCATTGGTCTACAAAGGAATCTCAGCTACACAGATATTCGAACCAAGGCAGTCACTCACCGTCATGTATTTGACGCTCGGAGGAGCTTGGTTATAATTCGGTCCAAGGAAAATATCAAACAAGAAACTGCAGAATCTCTGAGCACGAGAAATTTGTTTTGTTAGTGACCCACCAGCCATCTTGATACCTAGAAAACAAAAGTAAGAGAAGCTCAAGAAATCGAGAAAAAGATACTGACGGAGTTCCTTCTGGACCTATGATGAGCGCCTTGATGATGTCTACCCGATTCTCGTCCACTCTCAAGAAAACCGAGGAATCCCATGCAACAGGTAGATTCGTCGTCAAAACGGCGAGCTGCGTGATCCACTAAGTCAAAAAAAACTTGGAGAAAGAAACCCCACAAAACCTCTTTTGCGATAGCTAGAGAACGCTTAGGGATGTCGGAGGTGGCAAGCATTCGGGCCTCGCTATTATAGTAGAACTTATAATGGGGTAAGCTCTCTTCTATCGCCCCTTTCTTGTCTTCCTCTCTTGGAACAGTAAGATCACAATATTCGAATCGAACTTGAGTAGCCCAGTCGACATAAGCCTTTTTCCGTGCCTCATCTGTCGTGGCAAGAGTGATCGATGAATGATCAAAAGGTTCCGAAGTGATCTTTGGCAGTGCGGCGTGTAATCGGTCAACAAATGCGTCGCCTTTGGTTTCGCGCAGTGAGCGATCGATGGCACTTGCAGTCGCCAAAATCCGTTGACAAAACAAGAGCAGCCTCTGGTTTTCATCAGACAAAGAAGGGGTCAACTCTCTCTCCTTGCCCTTCGCGGACGATGTCATGCGTTTCTGCTCCTCCGTCATCTCAAGCACCTCTGGGTCAGGTGTTTTAATGCCTTCCAATCCTTTGATAGCAGCTTGCGCTTGGATGACAATTGCTTCCAAGAGTTCTCGCGGGCCAGCACTACCTTCATAGATGATAGTTCGTTCCCGTATGGGTGCCTTACCCTTGGCTACTTTCTTAGGTGCGACGGATTTCACAGAGGAAACCACCATGATCGGCATTGCCATCATACTTGCCAATGCTTCATGGTTGGATATAGTCTGTAGTGATGCGTCAATCAATGCGGTTGAACGTATGATGTGATGGTGCGCTACCTCGAGCCATTCAAATAACTCAAAGTACAGCACAGAACGATCTGACATGTCTGAGAGGGAATCATTCCTGAGGAGAGTGGTGCAGAGATAGTTAAAGCGTCTGCGGAGATGCGCAAGAGCCGTAGGGTGAACCATGTAGTCGCTGGTTCGTGCACCTCCTTCTCGGCGCAGAGACGGAAGATATTCGCGGATCTGGGAAAGTATCGTACCGATCTTCTCATCTTTGAGGCGCTGGATAGTCTGAGCTTCTAGTTGGCCAGAAGTCTTGCATCTTCTCAGAAAACAATTACTGATGATGTTTACATGAAAACTCACATCTTCCTTTACATCACCAGCATAACCAATGCCTCCTTTCGACTTCTTCCCCACTGGCAAAGACATATAATAGCTATCATCTTCGTCATCGTCCCCTTTCGGAGTAGACGAAGAAGAGTGCAGATCGGTCTTCCGTCTCTTGTTCGTTTTTGATTTCTGAGAACTCTCTTCGGAGGTTTGTTGACGCTGTTCAGAGAACGTGGATTCCAACATAGCGAGCCCGATGCCCAATATAACACCTTGCAGATTGGAACAATGGAATAGATTATCATCACCCGAAGAGGAAGGGTCACGATTGCTTCCAGCGTTGATAGGTTCTCCGCACGCGAAACAAAAATCCACTTTGCATGAGAGACAAGTGCGCTTTACGACACGGCGAAGATGTTGGATATACAGCAAGAAATCTGGCTATATGCAAATCAGCTCTCGACTTTGTAAAGAAAACAGCGTTACACACAAAAATGGCGAAGAAGTTACTCTTGGATCTCTGGATCTTATATCCACATGATTGGGGGCAAAGGCAGTCACCGCTGCTTAGCTCGTTGTAGAGACCGAACAAGAAACCTTGTTCGCCGCCCTCTGGACAACCTTTCATCCACTGACCTTGAGTCATAATCTTCACCTGCTCGTTAGTGTCTGGCATGAAGGCTGTCTCAGGCTCCTCTTCAACTTCTATGACTTCTTCGCGACGATCCTTTGAGAAGAAGACACCTTCGAAACCATCAAAAACACCGATGGAACGAAACACAAAGATGTACTCGCCAGCATATGGATCAGCTTCGACCACAGTTCTAGCCTTCTCGTCGTAATCAGAGTCATAGTCGACATAGTCATCCGCTGAAAGGGGGTTAATGCATCGGAGGGAACTATCCAGGAAGCCACTCACCCCCGTCTTCATCTTCGTCCATGTCTATGTCATTGTCATCTTCTCCTTCTCCGTCCTCATCCGGTGTCTAACCAAAACTGATGAAGACCATTTTCCCAAGTAGCGATGAGTTACATACAACACTACGCGGCGTTCGTGATGGAGTGATGGGAGCTACTGGAGCAGTAGACTCCATACTAACATCTCCATCCGTCTCTTCTACGTCGGCGAACTCGCCTTCAAAGATCCGCTCGGCTGCTTGCATTACATCTTTGTACCGACGAAGTGCGGCGTGAGCTTGTGCCTCCGACGCACCCTACCAGCCAGTTAATATGGTACTGAGCTGGAATCACAGAACCAGGTCTTACCATCTCCACCAGTTGTCGGACCTCTCTATCCATGGTGGCTGCAAGAGACTATGTATACCGTTACGGTGATGAATCTACCTTCTATTGTAACGAGTTCAAAGTGTGATGATATTGCAATGTGACATTTTTGTCACGAGGGTGTTAGCCAATATTGCAGCTAAAAACATAAAAATGTATAAATAAATGACCAACGCAGACCCGAACTCCTTCAATTGACTAGGTAGAAAGAAAGTCGTTCAGCGAAGAAGCCGAACTTAGCAAGTAAATTTGTGAGTACTACCTAGATAAAACCTTCCGAAATATCGAGAGCGGTAAAACCCATACCAAGCATAGGAGAAAGATGTCCAGAATACAACAATTCATATACAGAACCCTAACACAACCCCGTCAGGCCAGCTGGTCGAAGTGGTTCAAAAGCGTGGCATCCATATTGAGAGCACACGGATATCGGCTCTTCAACCCTTCGTAATTTGTTGAGAAAAGCTTTCTCGTTCATCCCGGTCGTAGCTAAGAGGGTATGAAGACAAATCGCTCATCAGCGCAAGCGTGTCCAAGCTGGCTCTTTGACGTCCTTGAAAAGCAGATGGTGGTGTGCTACCATCATTGCTTCCAGAATCAATCTGGAATGGGAATGGCCCGAGACCAGATGATGCCGTGGAAACCTGAGAGGCTGTGGACAGTCCCAAGGTCTGGCGGCTGGGAGGGGGGTCTAACGGGGGCAGTTGAGTCTCTGCGGGTTCTGGCACGTCTGAAGGAGTGGTATCCTGCACCTGTGCAGGGGATGGTGAAAGAGGCGTTGCCTCAAAGACTGGAGGCTGCGACTGTGTAGCAGAGAACCGTTGGTGTAGAGGAGAACGAGGCGGAGAACGGATAGGAAGCGATGAAATGGGTGAAGGAGGGACGAAGGGGAACGACTCGAGGATAGAGTCTGCCCGCGTTGAGGTGGCAGAAACAACCGAGGAACCCGAGATTCGCTTGCGATCCAAGCCCTGGGCACGGGCTTGTGCGTGTGCGTGTGCCAAGGCTAATTGCTGCTGTTCCTCAAGGGATGCTGGCTGGCGAGAGGTCTGCGCTGAGGCTGATGATACCAGTCTACCCATGGTTGTCCTGGGCGACTTCTCGAGGTTCTTTGGGCAAAGTAGTCCAACATTGACACGCGTTGCACTGCTGATATCTATAATAGACCCGGCCTGAGTACTGACGCTGGACGGACGACTCTGACTGCTATTGGTGGACCACGGGAGACGAGGTAATTGGAGAGAAACTTCCGACACCGGGCGTGACTGGTTTGAGCTATCACCGTGCACTTCAAATTCGTGATGATCCCCGAACGGGTCGCTGCGCGGCGATTTATGCTCTTCATCTGTCTCGTCCAAGGCATCAGCGGGGCCAAAAGAGCTGGCTGCGAGGGGTGAACGAATTGAAGGGCGAGAAGCAACAGTAGGAATACTGTTCACGGATAAATGTGATGATACGGGTGTAGATGGACCTGGGGTCTGAATGACTTCTGCTTTGACAACCCCCAAAACCTGCCTAACACCTTGGCCTTGCGTGATAATCATCGGTGCTTCATTGAGGAAATCACTGGAGTAGCTGGCATTTGACATGTATGACATCCTCGACGATCCTGAGCGCTGACTCTGTGCGTAACACGGGTTTGGACCATGTAAAGATTCATCAGACACCGCAGAAGTATTGTCATTCAAAGACAGGTCGGGTGCCCGAGCGGGCCGGACGGGAGAGGAAGTTGCAGCAGATCCTGAAGGCCATGAAGGTGTCACAGAATTAGCTGACGCAGAGCCGGGGGATACCAGGGCAATAGGGATAACGTTTGTGCCATTTGTACCAGTTGACGTAGTCTGTATAGAGTTACCATCGTCAAAGGGATTGGGTTGAGTAGCAGGGATATTGGGAGAGGAGGTGCCGGTCGCGGATTGACCCCGAGACTGCGGATCGAGGTCGATGACGCTGTGCGAAGATGAAATGAACACTCTGACGGTATTGGGCTCAGAAGGCATCGGTGGCTGCGGCTTTTCAGTGGGATCTGGGCGATTGAGAACTGCTTCTGCAGAAGCGGGAGCTTCGTCCTTGGCTTCCTGAGCCTGTTCCAGGGCCTTATTGGCACTGGCACGACGACGGTACCAGAAATAGAGTACCAAAGCCCCTACAAGGACTAGAACGATAGCAATGACTGCGCCTGCAAGTGCGCCTGAACTGACACCCCCATTGTTACTAGAGGTGGCAGTGGTCTTTGCCTGACAAGTAAATGTTGGGCAGACATTGCAAGTTCTGACATGAAGTCAGTGTCAGATATGATCAGATTTACTGATTGAAACGAACAGACCTAGTTATCTGAATGCAGCTCTGATCGGCTGAGCAAGTGCAAGATGGGGGAGCTGTAGGGCAAGTGACACATTGTCTGGTATCCAAGAACATGATCTGCAGAGCGAAGCAGAGAAGAGAAACAGAATAAATGAGTGTGATTCGATGAAATTTAAGATCGAGTTTTGTTTAAGCTAAATTCCTACCACAGCTGCTCACTGCAAGCAACGATGGTGGAGGATGGAGATGGCCTGCAACTGAACTCTAGCCAAGTTGAAAGTCTAGAGACGAGCCTAGTGCTGCCTAGTGACGGTGTCTTCCCACGATTTTGGTGTTGGCCAGCGAACCAGGAACACGGGTCTGGTACTCATGACTTGCCTGTCCTTCTATAACCATCTTTTATTAGCTCAAAGGGTCACAGGGCTCTACCCGTGGTGGTACAAAGCTAGTTCTATTTAATATTTAATAATCGTTTCCCATACCAATCCCTTTTATCATTTAATGTCTGGCCTCGCCGCCGAGTCTACTATCGTAGTCGAGTGTCTGACTTACCGTCATGTTCCCAGTGAGCCCCCTTCCTTGGATAACATCACTTTTCATCTCCGCCCTGGATCTCGAACAATCTTGGTTGGCGCCAATGGAGGCAAGTAGTAGTACCTTGCGGCCCTTGCCCCCTTACTGATCTCTTACGCAGCCGGAAAATCTACCCTCCTGCAGATCTTGGCGGGTAAAAGATTAGTAAACGATGCTGAGATACGTATCAAAGGCCTAGATGTCTTCAGAGATTCCCCGCCAGGCGTTACTTTTTTGGGCACGGAGTGGTCGGTGACTTCTTATTCTCATCACGACCGTGGTCCATCATCCAAGGTCTAATATTTGTCCTGTTCTCCAGGGCAATGAATCCAGTAGTCCGCAGTGATATCGTGGTATCCACCTTCTTGGACTCCGTGGGAGGATATAAATACAAGGACAGGAGAGACACACTTCTAGACATTCTAGATGTGGACTTAGACTGGCATATGCATGCAATTTCCGATGGAGAACGTCGTCGCATCCAACTTTGTATGGGCCTTATGGCACCATGGGATGTTCTTCTCTTAGATGAAGTACGTTACTTCATGCCGTATCCGTGAGGTTCAAGTTGTCTGAGCGACGCGTGTGCAGGTCACTGTTGACCTTGACGTCATGGTTCGTGATGAATTACTTACATTCCTCCGAGACGACAGTATTGCCCGTGGAGCTACCATTATTTGTGAGTCGGAAGTTTTGTAGTTCTTCAGCATTGATTAAATATTCACACAGATGCAACCCATATTTTTGACGGACTCAATTCATTCCCTACTCACGTCGCCCACATGCGTTTCGGTTCCTTTGCCACAGAACCTACTGCATGGCCATCAGGCTTTACCAACGGTCCTCAGACCCCCACATTATACAACACTGCTCTGCAGTGGCTTAGAGAAGACCGTGAATACCGCCGAGAACTTGAGAAACAGGGGCGAAAAAGTCGTGGTGCGAGAAATGAGGTTTGTTTTGATCCCACTCACTTAGCAACAACTCGATTAATTTATGAAACTTTAGACTGTCCCTTCAGACTCTGAGACGTTCTACAAGAAGTGGGTGTGATTTATTAATCCCTGACTATAATATTGAAGATCATTTAAAGATATGATTATGGCCATTAAGACACCACGCTGCCATAAGTTCTGTTGTGGACGACGCATCATTTGACAATTATATCCGCTTAGTTTCAACAACCTGTAGCAATAGCACTACAAGCCACACCTGTATTCAACATGCACCGCCTAAAATACAACGTTTCTATCCGGAGGATCGCTCACAACTGGACACGCATATTCGGATGAGCCTGATGTGTGAGGAAAATAAGACTGCAAGTCCCGGTAAGTATACCGTACGACTCCGTAGATGTGATTAGCACGAGAATTACAATCATATTCTTTGTCCTTGTCCAGTGTAATTTATGTACTACCCTATAGTCCCAGACTACAGAGGGCTTTACGCAAGTTGAGCTTGTGTTCAGCAGCAATGACCGCCACCTGCCTTATTTAGGCGGGTGCAATTGCAGCCCGCCAGCGGTTGAAGGTACAATACATCCTTCACACCTTTTTATGCAAGGTCTTGCCACTGTGGTTATTCGCCATTATAATGCCTGAAATCATAGACCTAACGGTCTCTTCCCCACCACAAGAGCCTATCGAGATATTGTCCGACGGGGAAATACCTATGGTCTCTCTCAACCAGGAAGATCCTTCCTCGCAAAAGTCAAAGCGGAAGCCACGAAAACGGAAAAAGTCCAAAGGCCCTATATGCGATGGTGTTAACAGCTCAAGAAACCAGTCTCTCGAGCGTCGAAGCACCGCAGAATCTCGCGCTGGAACTGTTTCTCGAAGGCGATCAGCGTCTCCAAAACGTCGCTCACCAGCTCCAGCACCTTCTGACCAGGAATTGTTCTTCTTTGACGCCACCCCTGCTCCCGTGGTTACAGAGGCTACGCAAAGTTCAAATTCCCAACCAGAGAGCTCCAAAAGTGCAGCAGACCGACTTCTACTACCCTCTCATGTGTCTATCTTGAGTGCTGGCGAGGATGGTGCAATACCGGTTGAAATTATTCCCCAACTACCATTGGATTCTGAGGAGGAAGATTATATTGAATATCTTGACTATGAAGATAGGAAGGTGTGCAGCCATCCGTCAGTAGTTATAATCACGATAAGTCGCTCATGTCTTTCGTAGGCACCCGGGCTTGTTCGATACTTCGATACGGAAGCGGAGGAGGCTGCTCACGCCAAAACATCACGTTTTGTATGCAAGAATTGCGGTGCAGAGGGCGAGCATAAGACATATGAATGTCCGATTCAAGTGGTCAGTTTTTTGAATGCCTCAGTCTAATGTTGCTCATTCTGCTTTGAAGTGTCTGACTTGTGGTGCTCGTGACGAACATTCAACACGGAGCTGTCCTATTAGCAAGACTTGCTATACTTGTGGGATGAAAGGTCATATTAACAAGGTGAAAATTTTTGTAATCTGTCTCACACCCAGTCTAATGGGGTTCAGACCTGCCCAAATCGTTTCTCGCGTTCAAGGCTCGCAGCAGATATAGTCGATTGTTGCGGCCGATGCGCATCGAAAGCTCATAAGATGAATGTAAGATAGCAGTTCATTTTTCAACGTTTTGCCGTTCATTTTCTAACTTCGACAAGGAATGTCCTACGCTTTGGAGAATATACCAGTACGTTACAGACGAGGATCGCGTGAAAATATTGCAGATCAGGGAAGAAAAAAAGAAACTTGGATTTGGAAAAGGAGGCGAGGGATACATTGCATCGGAGCTGTGTTGTTATAATTGTGGAAATACGGGACACTTGGGAGATGTATGTGTTCTTGCCAGTCCTGGCTCGTCTTCTGACAAAGTCTCACAGGATTGCGATGAGGTCGCTTTTGTCTTTGACATACCCGCTGAGCCCTCAGCTTTCAGCTCGCACAATATTATGTCTGGACCATTCTATGACCCGGTATCCGAGCCCGTTCTCATTCGCCGTGGGCCGCGAGAGTTGCAGAATGAAGAAGACAGACCTACCTTACGTGATGACTGGGGTATGGATGCACCTACAAATGTCGGAAAACAAGGGAAGAACAAAGACAAGGAAAAGATGGCGAAGAGGTTCAGAGATCAAGAAGATGATGACACAGGGGACTGGTTTAATAATCCCCGTAACATGAAGAACCGCGGGAATGACAAACCTGCGTCAAATGGCCGAAAGGCTCTAAAATTCGGCAGTTCGATGAAGGACGTCGGACGCCAGTTCATGCCACCCCCATCAGATTCACCTCGCAAAAGTCTTATTGATCGGTTAGGAGACAACCCTCACCGTGGTCCTCGACGGCGGAACGGTGACTACCACGGTCCATCAAAGGAACCAGAATCTTACCGCATACGTGGAGCGTCACATAATGTTAGAGACCGGGATGGTGAGTATTCTCGTAGAGACCCAGGTCGTGACCGAGAGCGGCAGCGACGAGATTCGCGAGAATGGGACAAGGACAGAGACAGAGACAGGGGACATGGACGGGGGAGCAGTGGACCCAGGTATAAAGGTGGTTACTATAGATGATTTCAACCCTAAAGTTGGCGGTTCGGGAGTGTGATGAAAAGAGCGGCCCGATGCATTTCCCGCTATCAGAGCTCTCACAGGAGACTCAGGGTACAGGGTGTCGGATTGTATACTAGGGTCGTCATCCCGCACATGCCAGTGAGGGACGGCGTCCCTGGTGAACAACCACTGGATCCTAGTAGTACTTAGCGCTTAGCTTTTAGTTACCCTCATCACGTTTGTCAATTGAGTTTCGTTGATATATCATGATCCAGTATATTGTACTGGTGCTCGCTTTGTTCCGACCTGCCCTCACTGGGTGAAGTTGGTTGTTAAGAGTTAGCAAGAACGTAAGACCATATGAAAGCAGATTGCCTTTCTTGAACCCTTGACACATAAACATGCTGAGTGCCAGTCTTGTTCCTTCCCCCACAATCGACCTTGGTCTTGCCAAAGGCAGGAGCGTTTCAACAAAGATCGCCCAAGCTGCAGACCCAGCACATCCCGAAGGATCCATCATAAGTCCAGCGACCCGCGCCACTCTCAACTTCCAGTATGCATCCCTGAGAAACATCAATCACTGTCCAACTGGCATGTACATCACTCCTTCTGTGGAGAGCATCCTGGTATGGGACGCCGTTCTCTTTGTGCACTAAGGTCAGCGTTCTCAATACCTACTGGTGCGCCGTCCGGTTTCATATTCTTGTCAGGATACTACCAGGATTCTGTGCTGAAGTTCACCGTATCGTTTCCCAATGACTATCCTGAACGACCCCCGACAGTGCGGTTCTTGACGGACATTTTCCATCCCCTTGTCGACCCCCGGACCGGAGCATACAGTCTTGCACCTCGGTTCCGTCCATGGAGGTTTGTGACGTTCTGCTATAGAGATTGACGAGGAGCTGATACGCACGTCCAGACCCAAAGAGCATCAGATACATCATATTCTACATTTCATCAAGAGCACGTTCAAGGAGCCTACTCTGGACAAGCTCCATGAGGAAGATGTCTTGAACAAAGAAGCTTTCAAGTGAGTTACAAACGTCCTGAGAGTTGCTTTTGCTGATAGTTTCGTAGGCTGTAAGTGATGACAAGCCTCGCCACTCTAGATAACAGTATTCATGTTGCACACAGCTATCGCGACAATCGAACGTCTTTTGCGACGTTAGCAAAGCAATCCGCAGAGCTATCTCAATCCCCCAGTGCTCTCTATGATACTTCAGGTTCAAAGAAGAACCACTCGTTACGGTTTACCCCTTTGAAACCAAACGAACTTGACGAAGTGCTCAGGGCCCTCTCTGTTCATACAGATTCAAAATGAGTGGTACATCATGAGCTACTATATGAAGTATGGTATACTAGTCATCCACACACCTATTGTACGCAAACTTACTACGGGGTCTAATAATATAGTCACATTAAGGCGTGATTTTTCGTGACAGTCGTATCATGGTTCGGACGCCACCCTGGAGTTTAGAACTCAAAGTGACGACAGGGTGTTTCATCTATCATCGCTGCTGCTATTAGTATCGTGGATACTGGGAAAATGCCGGAAATTATTCGCTTCGAATGGGGTATCCGTTCCCGTGTCATCGTCCTGCTAGCGTCAGTGAGACGTGTTCCAGCACACTAATTGGAACCTACCTCGGTCATTTTGCCAAAGTGCTTAGAGAGTTTCTCGATGACGAGACTGTATGGAAGGTGTTGTGTCAATTTCCTACAAAGGGTCATTAGCTCCATGAGGCGAATCTAATGATCACTGAAATTTGTCACCTTCGAGGCTGTACGTTTAAAGAATGACGTGCATCCAAAGTAGAGTCCAGGACGTTCGACGAGTGAGCACCTTCACTAAGGGACAGTCTAATTGAATATTCCTTATCAGAATTCCCGCGCCCAAAATTGCGTTCGTAGAGTTCAAACCTAGGGCGGGGGAAGTTAGTCGGCAAACGGATACAATGAATTAACCTACGTGATATGGGACTACAAAGAGAGTCCTTTATCAGTATACTTCCAAGCTCAGATATGAACTGAACTTACACAATAATCTAACTCGGGTATCCGCCTATTCGCAATTGGTAGGCCGGAGTGCAGCACGAGATTGACAAGCGTATGAATATGGCTTTCTTTGGTGAAATAAAGGGTCAAGGAACTGGCGCCATTGTTTCGTGCAGCCTCGAGGTCTTCTACGACTTTCCGAAGTAGTGGTAATGAAGTTAGGACGCCAATCTGCTCCCTGTACAAAGTTCAATTTTATACAAACGAGTCGTGGTTTATCAAGTCACACTTTTCATCAGCCTCAATGCCGTATTCCTGAGGCGCCACTAGATCAAATAGAGCTTTGGCACGCCCGTAAAGTTCATGCAACTTGCGATCTTGAGTCTGGCTCGGATCCTGGCCGTGGCCAGCGTTTTGGTCAAAGATCGAGAACAGGAACGTTCGGTGGTGCAGCGCACAATACTTGATGGTGTCGTAAAGCTCGGAGACCTGCAACATTAATAGGGATCAGTCACCAGGTGAGTGCACGTTACAAGGTGCTTACACGAGAGGGGTCAAACTTCTTTTGTTCGACATCGCAGAAATCTTCAAACAGTTTGTCCCAGCGTTCCCTAAACAACCAGGGTTCATCGTCGCAACACCTACAGATATTCGTAAACCTGACATTGTTCAAAGGTCGATCAATTTCCATACCATCGTTCCTGGATCGTGTCCACATCCATGGTCTCGAAATTCTTGTGCATGATTGCCCGGAAGGAGCTCAAAAGTTCAATAACCTCCTGTAATGATGTAGCGTGAGCATTCGACTCCCCTCTGGATGTGCAATATGTTGACAGACCTTGACAACTTCGACCGGCTCCTTTTTCATGCTCTTTGGCCATGTGAGCTCGGGACGCTTCTCAGGTTCACCGGGTCTCAACAATATCTTCAGGCGCTTCTTCACGTCGTCCATCAAGTCCTTGGCTGCATTAGAGTCATCTAGAAGGTCTTTACGGATGATCAATTCCGGAGGTGTTGTCCCTTGTGAGCTTAATCTGCCATCTTGAGAGGAGCGCGAGGAAAGGGAGCTGCTAGGAGTCGACGAAGAAGTGGAAAAACTCGAAGAGATGTTATCGACGAGTGCTGCAGCAAAAATCTCGGCGGATGCAATCACGCGGCGCTCAGAGGAGGTATAGATCTGGATTGTATTCAGAATACCTCCATCTCTATGAGCAACAAACGAACCTTGACATTCTGAAGAGCTTCCTTATCTAAATACAAAGGTCAGCGGTACCATTCTTCTTATTGTGATGTACTTACTCATGATGGTCAGATCCTTTTTCATATTCTCTCCAAGGTCACGAGATTGGTATCTTGCTGAATGCGTGAACTGTACCAAGAAATCCACATCAACATGAATGATACAAGCATACAGGAGTCGACACACCTCACCGCCCCATTTAAATACTAGTGTCAGCTTTGTTAACCTCCTTGCCTGACCAGCCTGTCTCTTCGAATACACAGGCTTTAGCTGCGCCTTAGTCCCAGGAAGATTAATCTTGTTGAAAAGCGCAGTATTGAGCTGCGTGAGCTTCGTCAAGTCATCGCCACTCGCGCCCAGAGCTTTTGCCTCCTCGACTGCTTGGGCGATAAGATTCAGTTGAGATGTCTCGCGAAGGATTATTTCCTCCTTCTCTCCATTTAGTAGCCGGACGAAAGGCTGCGTCCACACGTCACCGATAGGAAAATTGAATTTCAACTTCTGTTTGGGCGTACGGTCAGCGTGTCGGAAGACCGTTACATTTGCCTTGAGGATCCATGTTGGTGGCTGCCCCTTGGTTGTAGTGTCCGCTGAGGGTATCGGACGTTCTGGCGAGGATGACACATGAATGCAGAGGTTAGCCAAGATTTCGGCAGCCTTGTCTAAGTGGTGATAATCAGACACGAAGCCGACTAGACATGATCTTACATCGTCGCTTACCGTAATAACCCTCATTTCCCTTGACAAAGCTCCATCCATTGACATCGATAATCTGTGTTTTTTTGCCTCCTTCACATCGAAGCATGTCGAAGCCGCAAACGTTCTGACCAAATGCTTGACATATTTTCGCAGCGTACGTCTTCTCCTCCTCACTCAGGTGAGTAATAAACCTGATTTGTCCATGAGTGACGGGGGGTTACAAATTGCTGAGTGACAAACCGAATCTCCTTGCCTTCCGTGTTCCGGCGGACAACGCCATCAACCACAGGGGACTTCCGAGTTTCAGCGTGAAAGTAGTCCTTGCCGACTGTATAAACCTTGATATCCTCAGAGTTATCGACATCGATGAATTCCTCGTAGATATATGATCCATCCGTCCGCGGATGATTCAACAAAGGATCAAGATCACTTGACTTATTACCGACCTAGGAAGAGATGAGTCGAGGAATGTGTGAGAGGACCATTACACCAATACATACCTTCCTAAAGAGGCGGCGCCCTCCACCGCCCCGAAAATAGATATAAACGTTGTGGTCCTCACCGCTAACAGGTTTTTCCACGAAGGGTTTCTCCAGGACTTGCCCGTCAATGACAATGGCGTTCCCATCTTCGCGAAGTGAGACCTCAGGGGTCACTCTGAAGCCACCTAATGTGACGCCAAGCTTCTTTGACATCGCGTCTTTGAGTTCTGCATCAACTTGAGGACCACCATCGCGAGAAACTTCTAGTCGCTTGGGTGTTGGGACATGTAAATGGTCAAGAATAGCTCCAACCAGACGACGATCCCATAGTAAAGCCTGCGGTAAAAGGTCGTTGATGCAGAAGGGGTGACGGAGTTTGACGTAAGATATGGCCTTGTCCAGGGGGAAATCGGTGGAAAAGAAAGAGATGAGTACATCACAGCGGGGCCAGTTTTCGACATCTAACAGGAGCGTGAGTAGGCAGTGGCGGCATCAAGGAACGGCAAAAGAAGGGAGTGGGAAAATATAGTACACACCCTCGTCAAGGATAACCTTATCACCAAAAACCTTGACTTCAATAGCACCGTGGGCTCTTTCTACCAGTCGCGTGAGTATTTCTCTCATTGCCTTTGATCTGGCTTTGATATCCATTGCACAGATACCGAGGATGACAGGGGAGCGATTAGTATCGTGGAAGAGGGCCCGGTCATCGCTGGAAGCAATGGAAGAACGAGAGGAAGACCTTGTAACATTTGAGCTAGACCGTGGAGATTGACGTTCTGGGGAATTTAAAAAAGCTGAAATTCGAGATTGCCTGTCTCTGAACATGATAGATCAATAGATTGAAGATGGTATAGTGTATCGAATTCAAACAGTTAGGCTCTGTAGTCCTGTCAAATTATTTAAACTTCTGATACAAGAGCGTACACTGTGAAAACGATTGAGCAAACGTACCTGCAGGCAGACATGAGAACGGCACACGACTAGGTCAAAGTTTGAGGTTCTTCACCGATATCTAAACCTTAGCAGGAAATTTCACATTTAGAAATTCCCAATTGAGTTTCTTCTGAAAATCATGTAGACTTCAAGTTTGGATGAAAAGTGCTGGGAGGCAGATCTGCCACTCGCAAAAGGCACAGCTAGCGCGAGAGTGCATAAAATTATGAATTCATGGTATAGTCCAACTCGAACCACCATTTATATAAATGAAGGATTCATAAGAACCGTTCATTCACGATGTAATCGGAAGATGCGAGGCATATTTCGAGAAGAGCATTTGGCCTCAGTACTAGCATGATCAAATGCGAAGTCTGGAACTTGAAGTAAACTTTGCTGTATCAGTGTGCGTGACCCGGACGACCATTTGGAATTTAGTCAAAAGAGACCGCTTTTGAAATCGAATTCAAGTGCGTTATCATGTAGTCCTTCGCGGTCCCCGACATTCTCAGCCTCAGTATGTGACCATGGCCATCTAGTTCGCCCCACTATTTATCCTATACAGTAATATCCATCCTTTGGAAGCACCAAGGCTTTGATGATCCAGCCTGTCCAGTCTGTTGGACAAGTCCTATAAATGATTAGTGTCCTGTAAATCTGGTCTGAGGCCAAATTAACGCCGCTAATTTGCAGAGGTAACTGTCAGGTGCATAAAAAAAAGGTAGATGTGTAGCCCTGAGATATATTTATTTCACAATCTGTGTGAGATATTTTATTTAGAGCTAAGACTTAGTGCAGTGCAAGGCCCGGCTTGAAGCAGAACGTGGGCCGACCGATTTAGGGGTACTCATGTTTACGTAGGTAGTATCATTTAAAATTTTCACCTCTCAAAATTTGGCAACGCTGTCACCTGTGGGTGCCGACTCGGATCCATGTTCGTACATACTATGATCATTCCCGGTTATATGC